AGTGGAAGCTAAGATGCACAGGAGGATGTGTACCTTGACCGGTTTGGCGTCTGTTCTGATCTTTCCCCAGGATATAGCCTCATCAGGTCGGGCCCCTGAGTCCGAACCATCAAACTCCTGGCCCGTGTTCACAAATACAGCGTAGTCAGCTCCATTCCTCTGAAAGCATGTCAAAGATAGGCAAAAAAAAGGAAGGAAACTTTTTCAGGTTGTCTTTACAGGAATAAACTTTATTACTCTGTAAAATATTATCACAAAACCCTTGTGGGCTTTTTTAGGAAAGCTTTTAGAAATAATAAATACACATTTAAAGGTATAAAGGAGGATTTTCGCGAATTTTTGCACAAGCACAACCCTGTACCCATTCCTGAGAGAGAACACCTATTAAACACATGCAAGAGCGTGCACAAGCCCATTTTTCCTCGTGCACCCTCTGTTTAAAGTTTCTGTTTGCATCGCTCATACAAGCTTACTTTCCAAAAGAAGAATTGTAATTTTTCCACTATGTCAGACTCACCACATAAGTGAAAATGGGGACGAGCACGTAGGACGGCCTTACATAAACATATCACCAGAACAACAGAATGACTGACAATTAGTAGGACCATTTATTTTGATGACCCACCCGGAAAAATAACATCCTCCACTATACCTTTAAATCACACGGATAAAAACAAGGTTTGAACAAAGGAACACAGATTTTTACTTACCATGAGGTTAGCATTGGCTATATGATGCTTCACCAAGCCTCCTCCCAGGATGATCATTCCTGTCTTCTTGGCAAAAACTGCCATCCCATTCAGCCTCCGAATATCTTGTTGAAAAAAAAACAACCAAACTTAAATTAACAACCCGAACCACTAAACTGACATCACTGTGTTAAAGCACTTTTGCCTTTACCTTCTACGATGTCCAGAACAAGGCCGGGGTTCTTAAACGAGTGGAAGTAGATCATGTCGCCCAGAGAGCCGTCAGTGAGTGCAGGGCTAAACACTGGAATGTTATTCTGAATCCCAAAACACAACATTTAGCAATCTGGGCTGATGCACACAGGATAAGTTGCATGGATCATTTCATTATTTAGCGCCAACCTTGTAAGCCCAGTAGTAGACTGAGTCAGGGTTGTTTATCTCCTTACCGAGCCGATGGATCATTTTAGAGGGAGTCCACCGGATTCCCTGAAACAAACAATATTTGTTTCATTTTAAGTCAGAAACTATCAAAAAAATAAATCATATGTAGAGCAAACATTTTAAATATCTGAACGACAACCTAGTTACCCACCTCTGTGTTTTGCTCCAGTAACATTTGATCCAGAATGGGCATCAGCCAGTCTTCAAACTTACAGTAGTTATCATTGGGCACCAGAAGGTTCCCTATTCTACAGTCAGTGAGAACAAAGAAGGGCGAGACAGACGGGAAACAATTAAAGGACAATTTACCCTGCATCTTGGTTATTGTTCTTTTTATTGAAAAAATCCTATTTAAATCTGATTATTTTGCAATTTTCTGTGAGATAAAAATTTTTGAGGTGCCCAAAGAAAAAAAATATATACATATTGTGCTGTTTAGAAATGGATGCAGAGAGATCTGCAGAATTTGGTGTCTAACATGAGAATAAGGGTCGAAAGTTTAACTGAAAATGTAGCACTTCCCTTCCATCTCTGCTGTACTTGAGCTTTGTGCTCTTAGCTCCGCCCCCTTCCTTTTTCAGTTTTCCAGGCAGTTTCATCTTTTCTCTTGGTGCAGGCCTTCTTTACACCCATCATTTCCACATGGTTCCAGCAGAGGAACCATCAATTTAAGCCACCAAGCCAATTTTTTCCATCTTCTTTCTCCCTTTAAATGTAGGAATGCTCTTTATTTACATTTCAGTGAACCCCACCAGACATTACCAACCTATTAATGCCTCTCAGGCGCAGATCTTTGCCAGGAAGACTGAAATCTCCCAAGTAAGTGTGAGCCATACACTTGATGAAATCCTCCTCAATGCCTCCAGCTGTGGTGACAATCACATCAACCTAAAAACAATGCAGATATAAACCGCTGCATTCACCTCGTATGGTTTAATCATTTTAGGTGTGCATGAACAAACCCGTCTGTACCATTTTGTGCTCTGCCAGGTAGCGGATGCTCTCTCTCACTCCAGAGCTGATGAGGTTGGAGGTGTATCCCAGGAAGATGGTGCAGCCGGACTTGCCTGAGGATTCGCAGGACACCTCAGACTCATTTTCTTCACCTAGCTCTGACAGCTCGAGGCGTTTCTCTATCTGTGTGTGTTATAAATAGTATTTATTGCACACAAAAAAAACATTAAAACAAAGCAGGTTTGATTTATGTGTATTTCAGGATTTTTTGTAGTATTTGTTTATTTATTTGTTGTCTGGTTTTTATGTTTGTTTTTTATTGTACAATCTTCTAGAGTTATTTTGTGCAACTTTTAAAGAAGAAATCTAATGCATAAAATAAAATGTTAAATGTTTTAAAGAACCAAATTCAAAAAAATATTCAATCCCACCTTGACTCTGAAATGACATTCTATGAACAAGATGCTGTTCTGCTTTCTGCTCATGAGAAATATTGAGAAACATGTCAAATATATCGGGAATGGATTGCTGTAGGTAGACTGAGGAAGATTTCTTTGTTTCAGCTTTTTATTTTTTATGGTCATTGCATGAAGAATTTCTCCTGTGTGAAATGGAAAGCTAATGAGCCCAAACATTGATCAGTATTATAATAAATGGAAATAGAATGCAGTCTTTTTACTAAAATATTCCTTCTGTCATGATTTGTGGACATTAAGATCTAAAGAGAAGCATCATCTCCTGGTACGTAATAGCAGCGCCGAGGTCTGGTCAGATTCCAAGAATCCTCGTTACGCGGCCTACAAATGCTTCTCATTTTTGCCCGATTTCAAGGACGGGTCCGACGTATCCTCGCTATGCTTGGATATCTCAGGATTCATTGCGATTATCAAGTAATTACATAATTAAGAGGATTCAGGAGGAATTTACTGCTTACTCAGGGAGACGTTGCAGGATACTGGCCTTCAAGAACTGAGTATAACCTAGAGTGTTTGGTTGTTTTGTTTTTTTCCATTAGCGCTAACAGTCATTACCAATAATTTAGCTTTTTTTGCCATTGTTTCTTTTTTTTATGCATCAAAACTAAAACTCCCATCATTCCAAGGGGGGAAATGAATTGCACAAATCTAAATTGGGAGAGATATGAAAGGCCTGATGGATGCTTCTCCAGCTCAGTCCCTCTGCCCTAAAAGCCTCTTCCTTCTCTCACCATCTTGTTGATTTCCTGGACAGCCAGAGCAAAGCTGCTGGCCTGAAAGCCTGTGTTCAGGTAGGTCTTCAGCAGCGCCTTCAGATCAACGCCCTGGTTGAAGTCGTAGCCTCGGATTTTCGGCATATCTTCCGGGAGGTCAGAGCTGGGCTTCAGAACTGCTTCCATGGCAACAGAGGGGGCATGGTCCGCCATTTTTAACTGAAAAAGAAAACACCTATATAAAACTTTGAGAAAACACTTATGAAGCTGTCAGAAATGTAGTTGAAATATATATGATGTATTTCCTCATTATTTTCCAGTAAAACGTGAACTTAAACACTGCTGTGCTGTTCTAGCTGCTCTTTAACTGCACCATTAGAATATGTCATACAATTTGTGTAATTATTTTTTTTTAAACGTATAAATATTTTATGAACATATATAAACTATATAGGGAGGGGGCTTAAGAGAGTACAAAGGGTAAAGAAAGACCCCCAAGAATAATATATGTATACACAAATAAACAAGCCAGATCCATGTGCTCTGACGTTAGCAGTGCTGCTATGCTAGCTGGTAGCAATTGTTTGATCTTCTAACTTCAAAGTAAACTGAAACATTAAACATACCTCTTCTTCAAACGACGTTAGTGTTGAAAGAGGTTAAATAGTTCACTTCTAAAGCAGTGCTTGATGACACAGAAATCAAGGATGAATAGCCTTGTAAACATAGCATGGGTTGCTAATGTAAAACTTGGACTACGGAAAGCACGAGCGGACAAAAGAGACTGAATCTGTGGAGTCACACCTATTCTATCCCTTTAACGACCAGCAGGGGGTGCAGTGGGGGACAAAAAAAGTCTTTCAAAACATTTGCATTTTAATTTTTTAGGTTATAAACATATGTTTTAAGATATTATTTGATTCGAATATGTTTATGCAATAGCTTGCAGGTCATGTGACCCACTGACTCAAAATCTGTCTGAAATTATTAATGGGACAGATGATGCAAACCCTTGATGCTATTGGAAGGAAAAAGCTCAGTCTTATTTTTGATCTGTATTGTAATATTGCTACTCATTACATTCTCCTCTCCTTTCACACAATAATTTACTTGCTTGTCAAATTAGTTTAGGTTGAGCTTGAATATCCAATATCCAGCTTCAAGCTGATTCAAACATGTAGTCATCAAAAATTAGTGCACATTATATAAAAAAAAGAGAGCCAGAACTGTTCTGCAGCTGGGAATTGTACTGTATGGAGCTCAAGTTTATTAATCCCATAATATTCAAATTCTCTTATAGATTAATGTAAAATGCATATACATTTATGCATGGTAAATACATAGATTCCTGCCTGCAGAGTGCTGACTAATTCTCTCACAAACATCTTACCTACACTGGTCTAATTCTGCCTTTTCAATGGTTCTCTCAATGCATTGTTTATTCCAATTAAAGTCTTTTTAGACTTGTATTTATATGGTCTGACCACAAACGTCCAGTAGCCTATATAGTGGTATATAGAATCCTGTAAAATATGCTTTATGCTCAAAAATTTCTCAATCTTTTTACAAACTTTAACACAGAGTCAGAATAATGTTTTCATCATCAATTGCTGTGAAGTTATGTGTGATGTTTGTGATATTTAAAGAAAAAAAAAAAAGGGTTGTGAGACCTTTTAAATCACAGCCTTTGAAATTCCCCCCAGCAGAGAATAAAAGGGAGGCTATGGGTCAAAAGACCAAGCCAGGAGCCTGTTAGAGCAGACCCACGCTGTACGACTAAAGCTGATTCGTCCCATCAGGTACAATATTCCTCTGAATCCCTACAAATCAACATTTCTTCAGCCTGTAAAGCGTTTTGCTTTGGTGGGGCCAGGAACGATGACCAGTAGCAGCAACAGCATTATTCAGGCTCAAAAGCTGGTGGATCAACTCCAAATCGAGGCAGGCATGGAAAGATTCAAGGTACGTTTGAATTCAATATAAAAAAAAACATAAGTTATAACATGGTGAATTTCAAACTGTATCCTTTTCCTGTTTTTTTTTTTAAGTTAATAGTTATGCTTTTAAAAAACAAAGACATTACTTTATTTTACCAGATTTGTTACTATTTGAACTCATATCTGTTATTTGTGCGATCAGATCTCTCTCACAGCAGCTGATTTAGTCCAATACTGTCAGGAGCACAGACGCAGCGATCCTCTCCTCACCGGCATATCTGCCTCATCCAACCCCTTTAAAGATAAGAAGACATGCGTGCTGCTTTGATACAAGAAGAGATCCCTACCAGAAACACAGCTGACTGCGAGCTGCCTCATCTGTTTAACTAGGAGGATCAGCTGGTCTCACAAAAAAAAAAAAAAAAAGCAGAATCTTTTATCGTTCATTGTGATTTTATTTGTGAATGTTTAAATACAATAAACACTTAAATAATTGTGGTTTCTTTGGGGGTTTTTTAACCTGAAATGAGTAAAACATACAAAAGACTTAATAACAATAAATAGTCTCAACACAACAGAAACGTCATTAAAAATAAGTTTATCATGTAAACAACTGAGAGTGCAAAAAAAAAAATTTGAAGCTTCCAAAAATGTGTATATTTAGAAGATAGAAAAACTAATAATTGTCTTATCTGGTACAATTACGGTCATTCTAAACCATGTTACACCAGTTTAAACTCACTCTCTAAAAGTAATAATTTCATTTTAATTGTGTCAGTTTGTCATGTTTCTTAGTTTATATTTTTAAGTGTTTTATACCACACCTATTTGACTTTGACAAATCATATCTCTTCTCAATATGTTAGAATAAGCTTATATGTGCAGGTTTCATTGATTTCCACCATTCCTTTCATTACAGATAATATCCAGCATGTATTAACATTTCATCACCAACTGAACTCAATTTAAAACTTACAATGAAGACAAAAAAAAAAAAAATTGGTCAACAAGTGAAGATGCACTTCTTTTCTTTTCTTTCAACCCTCCAGTGACGTTTTACTTCCCGGGTCTCCAGATATTGACCGTAGTGTCACCTGAAGCCAACGCAAGAACTCCAGCCTCCACACTCAGCTGACAGAAACCACAGCAGGGCGACAGGGAGACAGAAAAATAAACTCAAGTTAAGGTCATTGTTTAAACTTCTGATGTTCTCATAAAAGCTTTATTAAAAAGTAGAAGCCTAATATAAAACCTGACATTTAAACACTATAAAAAAAACACAGATTTTATTCCCTCACTGCCTGACATTCACATCAAACCGCTACGGTTTTACATCAATTAGAAGTACCTAAATTATTTCTATTTACTATAAGCCATTTTGAGGAAAATTACCTGCAAACATGAATTAATCAAAATCAAGGGACAGGAAATTGAGTTTCACCGGATAAAAATTTAAACTGTAAAGCTGAGGTCAGGAAAGGTCACTAGCGTTTACACTGTTAAGGACTTGGTTTGCACTGTTCTAATTGCAAAACAAATTTCACCTACTGGTATCAATGACGTTACCTTGTAAGCCTAAATATTGATCGAAATTGCTCTAGTCACAAACCTTCTATGGGGCTTATATTAGGGTTACATGATGCTCACTCCTTAGTAACTAATTGACCAAGTGTAAAAGTATGGGCTGCTTCCTCTCATCATAGTCCATAATGCAATCAGATCATTTTAGTATGGATAATGATTATCATAATTAACCGTTGATAGGTTTGTAAAACAATTATAGAACTGACCCCATGGACTACAGATGGATGACAGAGTGTACACAAAGTCTTTGGTGGTCCACTGGGGATATGGATCTGCAAAACAGGGAAGTAATAAAAAGAGCAGTTTATAAGCAGCACTGGGTTAATAATCCAAATTACAAAAAAATCCACCCCTGAAACTCACCTTGAGAGTTTTATCGGTCGAGCAGGTGTAGAGGCTGCCTTGAGTCCTGTGGATACCTGTTACCAGAGCTGTGTGACCTACATCAAACTGGGAGAGGGGCTTTAAGGTCCCGGTCTGCATGGAAAAGCAGCGCAGCATGCCTTTGTTGTCCCCAGCCCAAACCTCGTGGCCACTGTAGCTCATAGAGGATAAGAAGGAGCTCATCTGCAGAGAGAAATGTTCAGGTTAAAAGCCTGAAATCTGAAGAAACAAAAATCACAGACGGTAATATTAGTGTTAAGTCGTGTGCTACCTTAATTTTTTTCAATGCTTTCAGTGCCCTGCGATCATAAACGGCCACAGTGCAGTCCTTGCCGCCAGAGATTATGTACGTGTCATCCGCAGCCAGACACAATACAGCATTACCATGGAGACCGACGCTTTTAATCAGAGGCTCAGGAGCTGAACAAAAACAAAGAAGTCCTTTGTGAAAGTTGAAAAGACAATCTGTATGATAAACCATCAATTTATTACTTTATAAAAGAAAAGGAAAGTTTTTTCACATAGAGCAAAGACATTGAAAGTGCTGTGAATCAATAGAAACATGCAGTGGGATAACAGAGGCAGTGAAAGAAAGGTTGGACTACACTTCTGCATACTGACAGGAGGTGGGTCCTTTTCCTGGAGGTCAAGAGTCACATCGAGGTGAAGATAACCTTTATGAAGCCCGATCCAAATATTCCAATCTGGTTACCTACTATCATACGATGTGAAGAAAGGCCCTTACTTTCATCTTCTGTTATTCTGATGTAGAAGATACGTTTCTCTGTACTGTTGGGTTCTCCTTGTTAGCCGGCTTTACGCCAAGAGAAAGTAGGTATATTCTCATTTTCTGATCCTGATTCTAATCCTAGGTGATGATAGTCAGCTGTGTGTCAGTCTAATCCAGGGGCCTGCAACCTGTGGCTCCGGAGCCGCCAAGTGGCTCCATGGACACTCTAACATGGTTCTTAATAGAGGCTAAAAATTATAAATAAGCCAACTAATGATTATGAATATAGTTTAATAACAAATAACAGTCTTAGAAGCTTTAGCTCGTTTCTTAAAAAAAGATTTTTTTTTTTACAAGAATAACATCAAAAGTGCTGGAAACATGATCTATTTTTCTTATTACCTTGGCAATTACACCTTTTTTGTTCATTAAATTTTTGTTTTACTACACATCAAAAAATAAATTGAAAAAAAAAACACTCTCCCTTTTTTATGAAAGGAACTCAATATGCTTTCCCTTGTCTTAAAGCCTAAAAGTATAAATAAAACTGTTGGTTGTTTAAAATGGCAACTGATTTCAGATAACAGATATTTAACAAAACTAAAAAGTTGTGTTTCATTAAAAGATCATGTAATATTTGTGGCTCTAAGTAACTTTTATTAAGGCGGACTTAGGGCAGGCTCTTTTGATTTTGAAAGTTGCAGACCTTCGGTCTAATGGCTGTTTTTTAAGTAACCAATAGGATGCTTTCATTTCCATACTTAACATTTATCACTTTGATTTAATTTGTTTTTCTTATTTCCTTGATAGCTGATTAGATGATATTTTATATGGGTCCTTCTTCTGGGGGTGATTGAAATGACAGAGGTAAGAGCTAAGAGAGGGGAAATAAAAGGGGAAACGACTGCAAGCAGACAAGGGAGCTGGGGAGAAAGCGTCTGACCAAAGCATAGCGGCAGGGTAAGAGTTTTACAAAATATATCACATTTTACTGAAGAGAAAGAAAAAAAAACCAACAAGGTTTACGGAGTGAAAATACTTCCATAGCACAATGTGTGAACTGACCTTACCTCTAGTGTCGTAAATATTGATCCTCTTGTCAAAGGTCCCGGCCAGTAAGACATCCCCCTGACAGGACAAGCAGAGCACAGGCGCTGAGGCCCTGATCAGGCCTCTGTCTCTGCCTCCTTCCTGTAAGTCCCACAGCCTCACTGTGCTATCAAAGCCCCCTGATGCTAAAAGGGGTCCCTGGGACGCCAGGCACCAGACCCAGCCCCGATGAGAGGTGAAGTCCCCCTTCTTTCCCAGCCTGTTCAGCAGCACACCATCAGAGCCTGCCTCAACGTCCCAGAGTTTCACATCATAGTCTCTGGACGCTGTGGCACAGACCGCGCCTCTCCCCCCGAGGAGGAGCACAGAGTTGACCGCAGCGATGTGGCTTGAGGGTAGAGTAATGCACTCCAGTGCTAGGGGAGGACTAGGACTTCTGGCGGATTGATGTTGGATCATTTCTACACATCCTCTGTTATTCATATTTCTTAGGTGGGAAGGGTCATTTTGCTCTGGATAAGGCACATTTTCCCCCACATCGGCATTAAGCCACATCCTTTCGTTTCCAACTAGTGCAGCTGCACCAACCTCCAGCCTACATTCTAACTCTTCTCTCAACATCGCCATCTGGTCCCCATCAAACACCGGCTGCATTTCACCATCCTCAGCTTCCACTGCTACTTCTACACCTTCATCAGCAGTATAAGCAACCTCCTGTGCTGCCATTGCCATCCCATCAGCCTCATCTGGTTCAATATCATGTCCTCCAGCAACCAGCTCTCTTTCCTGCCGCCTCACTTGATCCCTTTCCTCCTGATTCTCCTCCAATTGTTCAGCCACATGTTGCACTTCACCTGCCCAGCAGGTAATGAGTTGTTCCATCTCCAGACAAGAATTTAGCCAGTTAAAGTCCTCCCTCGGTCCAACTGGAAATCTTGCTCTAAATCCAATTAGTCTATGTGCCCGTAGCTGCCAAGCTGTCACGTCTTCCCCAACAGTACTCAAAAGGCGGCACACCTGAAACAAGATTAAAAAAAAGGGTCTCTTCATTCACGAAAGCAGCATTAGTAAAAAAAAAAAATAAGACATTAAAGTGCCATGCTAAAGCACTCATCACCCTTGAACTTTTTCACTTTTGTCTTATGTTTTTAAACTCCAAAATATTTTACTGGGATATCTGATGGAGCATTAAAGAACAGGACATGTGAGGTTGCAGGAAAATAAAATAAAACCTACATTGTTAATCAGCTTAAGAGCAAACAGGTTGGATAGAGAGATTTTTCCAACATCCATTTTCAAATTTTGACCCTTTTATTGTAGCTCTTGCTGTTCCAAAAATAAAAAATTGAAATCAATCCACTTGACTTTGTTTCCAATTCAAAATGTCAGAATTGGCGCCGAGTACAAAGCTTTATAGAATTGACCAAAAACAAAGCTTAAAAAGCTTGTTTTGGCTTAGGAAGAGAGGAAGGAAGCGATTCATGTTAGGAAAGAAAAACGAACCTTAAACACAGGGGGTGGACTCAGGTTTCAGCACTCAAAAACCTACAAAGCAGTGATAGTTGATTCCTTCCTGCGATCATCTCAATCCATGCAGGTGACCAAAACATCTCGCCTGGTCAACCAGGCCAACAATTTCCTCTAACTGCCCCTATTTCAGAGGCATAGACCAGTTTCAAGTATTGCAAGCTAACAAGGGACCCAAACGACTACCCATTTCTAAGGGGCAGACCCATTCTTCTGGTTCAATGTGCCTGTTTTCTAAGCTAATACAAGGCTTTGTTAGGCTACTCTATAAAGCTTCCGACTCAACTCTCTGACATTTTGAATTGAAAAAGCTTCCATGATGGGAAGCGAAACGTCTTCAATCTTGGAAACAAAGTCCAGTGGATTGTTTTTTCACTTTTTTTGGAATGACTATGATCTGGATCACCGATAATCTTCACCAGCATAGCTTCAGCTGTATGTGTGGTTGTCTTTCAGCTGGAAAGTGAACCTCTGGGCTATTTCTCTGACCAATGCTCTCCTGGTCAGTGAAAAAAAAACAGAGGTTGTCTATATTGTCATGCTGACTTCGACCCACCTATTCAGAATGCTTTTATATAAGAAGTAAAATAAATACAAGTCATGTATAATTTTACCTTCCTTTCCTCACACATATTTCAATAAAACACACTAAAATCCAAATTCTAAGGAAGTTCAAGGATAAAACAGCCTGAAAAAATGCTTCATTAAGGTAAAATTTCATGATGATTTGATTAAAGGAGCACCGTTTGACAATCTAACCTTTGGCAGCACATTTACTACACAATGTGCTGGAAGGTATGAGGCAATGTGGATTATGATCTCCCATGGTAAAGACAACAAGTCGCTCGATTCTGCAGATGGAGATCGGATAGCCTCTGCTGGTGGTGAGCCAAGAGAGGACGGCAGACTGAAAGGAAATGGAGAACAAACGGAGTGAGTCGTGACTTATGGCATCACGTCAATAAACAAAGAGGCAGGAAAGAAAAGCTTTACCCCTGGAGGTCCACGTTAGAGCTGCCAGGGCGTTGATGTTTCACCTGGTCAGGAAATGATGCATCAGAAGCTTGTTTCCCCGATTCAGACATTTCTTTTCCCTATTACGATTACTCGCTCATCAACTGTAAACTAACATGACTCATTAACATTACTTTACAACAGACGTCCTGAATTAGTCCCTGACATCAGAATAACATCCAATTGTATATATACATTTTGTAAGCGCAAAGGTTGGAGTTTTTTAAATATTATCAGCAAAAAGTTGTCATGCGTAATTAGGTTGAAATGACATTAAAATATCCAGAACAAGATTCCTCTAGCCCACTTATTTTGAAACGATCCAACGTTCAAAACAAAACTTTCGACGCGCAAATATGACGTCATCTACTAGCCGGGTGTTTTCCATTTACCTTTGTTCTTTGTGTTAGTTTCTCTTGTAGCCTAAATTATTTTAATTTTTTTTTATTATTATAATTTGTTATAGCAATAGAATGAGTGTAAATGTATCTTTAGAGCAGCGCTGAATAGATTTTGGTTAAGATTTAAATACGGACGTCATTGTGCGACGCTGATAGTCGGAAACGGAAATACGCCCTGTGAGTGGGAAAATATGGCGGCTCCCGTCATGATTTCAGTGCATTCATCGATTTCCTTTTTTAAAATGAAACCTTAAAAGTCTACATCCGTTTGTTCACTCTTTGCCACTCAGCGGTACCCTATAAACTGAACATGTAATAAATGTAAAACATTTGGTATAATTGGACATATTCCTGTTCATTTGTAGATCCAGGTGTTTGGAACTGTCCTTTTTATTTGAAAGAATCTTTATTCTAACCATTGAAACATTCACAGCCAAAGTCATGAATTCCTTCCTAGCCAATTCTCCATACTGGGGACTGATATATCTATTATCTAAACTGCACCATCATACTGGCATAGTTTGAGTGTTTCCCCTTTTAGGAAAGTAGACTTAAATACATTGCAGTAATCTATAATGGCATTTTTAAAAAAGTATATTTCAAATGATTTTGGTAATTTAATACACAAGGTTCTTGGTTTAGCTTCCTGTTGTCATGAGCTTCAGGAAAAGTGGCCATCTTACAGTTGAGCCTGATTCCAGGTTAGTTGGCCTCCATGCGTCGATGCACTTCATGCCCGAATCATGCAGCGTGTGTGTATATGAGGGTAACACAGGGCCAGGTTGGTTTTGATATGCTTTAGAAATTGAAATCTTTTGAGGACTGTCCCTTTTTAAATTGTTTCTACTGGTCTGGCTTTCAAATAATTGTACTACTTTCTGTAAGTTTACTGAATATTAACAGGTCAACATTGTAATGAGATGTATCTATACTAGAAATGTTGTATTCTAGACAAATATCAGTACAACTCCTGGATGTTCATTTAGGTTTTATTTTGTAGAAATTTAATAGCCAAAGGAAAAAAGAACAAACATCCTAAGTATCCGCTGAGAATGGCATTTATTCCAAATATCAGGTGCAGTGGCACATAATCCAAACATAGCTATGTTACTCTCAATACAATGATTGTTCTATACATGCATCATTTACGGTACAAAACTTTTAGCAGACTCAAAGCTCTTTAGGAAAATACCTTCCCCACTTTTACAAATATTAGATTAAATCCTATCTACACCACAATTCAGCTAGAAGAAATTATTCAATTCTTTTGCCAGCTTTATAGAAAAGATCTGCTTTCCATTTTCCTCCTCAAATAGTCTCCCAGCATCGACTTGCCATCAGCCCACATCAAGTTTAACATAATCAGATGAGAAGCTGTAAAACAAAACCGCTCTTTAAATAAAAAGAATAAAAAGAAAAAAACTTTTAAAGTCCAAAACAAAAATTGTGCACCACTGCACAATATAGAAAACCAAAAGTAAAATAAATAGATAAAAAAATGCAATGAGCCTTAATGGAAAAAAAAAAAAAGAAAGAAAAAACTTGCATTGAAGACATTTTGTGCATATTGCTATTGTTGAACGTGATAAGTTACTTTATTTTTATTTTATCAAGCCAAATGCATCATTGCATTGAATCCTGGGAATATTTGACCTGTGAGCCCCGGCCATCACTTCCTTTTACGGTACATCTAAAAAATGAGCCATGGTCTCACTGCGGTGCTTCTGAAAGTGGTTTCAGGTTTTCAAAAACACTATCAGCAATTAAAAAAGAAAATAAATAAAAAGTCATCACATTTATGGAAAAAAATGAATCACATTAACCTATATAATGCATAATCCAAAAAGGGTTACATTGGTTTAATTAGGCAGGAATAGAATTTGCTTTTTAAAGTTTTCTTTCCGAAAACGCCTTCATCTTTAGCTTTTCAAGTCCATGCACATTGAAAAACAGAATTACTTATTGGCTGGCAAACAAACAGAGCGCTACATGAGGCAGGCGTGAATCAGCTTGTATTCCCTAGAATAATTTCAAATAGGGCTTGCAGAAAATTATGTCTAGGAAGTACTTCTGTCAACGTCACAAACAGGCAAAGGTCGACACACACACACTTCCGTTTTAATCAACTATAGACAAGAACTTAAAAGCTAAACCGAAACACACCAACACTCCCATAGATAAGGTAACCAGTGTAATCAAAACTAAATTCACTCCCAATAATCCCAGACATAACCTAAACAGTATCAACGGGGCATGGCAACATTATTCACGAGTTTCAGAAGCTGGATAACCAAAGTACAGCAGAAAGCAGATAAACCCCTTTAAATTAATGGCAAATCCAATTTAATAAACTGTGATTAGAGACGTGCCGAGAAAAATAATTGGAATATCTGGTCAGTGAACATTTGCAACACCCTTCTTGCAAGATGCTTTTAACAGTAAGAGATTAATAAGGGAATTAGAATGAGAGCTTCCTCTGATTTCATTTCTTTCAGATCCTTCCAGGGCTAAAACCTCCAACAGTGGATTTGTAAATGTTTACAAATCAGTATCAAGATGTATTATTTTTGCTTCCTAGACTACTCTTCTGTAAAGTGTATCAAATAAACCAGAGCAGAACAAAAAAAAAAAAAAAAAAAGCTATTTAAGCAAATGCAGCAGAGAGAAATCTGCCATTGCAGTGTGGATAATTACTCATTAAAGAACCACAAAGAACCAAACTGGATTAATATTCAAAGATAAAACATTTTATTCTCTTTTCCTTTAATGGAGGGGGGATATAAACCAGCACATTATAACCCCATGGGAGGTTTCCATGAAAACTTCATATCTTAGTGACCAGAGTTAGAAACTGTACAAATAGAAGCACAACAGCTCCCATCAACGCCTTAAGGATCTATATTTCTTTAGGAAATACTAAAGCAGACTGTTGCTTTAGTTAAGCTTAACGCTCCTATATGATATTCTGGTTTAACAGGAAATCTATATTGTACAGCGACTGTTGATAATTGCACATATATGGCATGACTATCCAAATACAAAACACTTGTATCTGTGAAACACAAATATTTTATAAACCAAAATCCACCAAAATTGCCGCTGCTCAAAGCTTTATTAAAAAATAATGGCAATGAAACCTGATTGGTGCATTTCTACCCCCTTCAACTCGGACAAGGAAACGTTTTCTGATGAGTACTGCCTTCTTCCTAAAATCCTATTCATCCCCTTTTCGTTGTTGCATTATAAACCTATAGCCCCTCTTGAGTGTTAAATTTTCGTTATCGTTTTGCTTACAGCAGTCCTAAAAAGATCACTTATCCAAAACAGGCTTAACAAATTCAGTATATTATTACCGTACGTCTTCCATTAGAAATTCTATTTTCTCAGGAGAAAAAGTGCATCTATACCAGTAAGAATTCATCCTTGATGACATTTCCTAAATATCACGACAACGAAGCCACAGCAGCAAAGTTAATTCTTGATCTGCTTACAGTTTTATTAAGTTGCTGCATTAACCATCAAACAGTAGTTTATTCCTCAACTTATCTATAGTCTGTCTGAACACAAACAACCTTAGTTAAAACTAATGGGGGGTGGGAGGGATGGGAATGATTGCAGGGGAAACTTGAACCAAGCATTAGACTGAAAACTGATGATTAATGCTATAAATAAAGACATTCACATAAACATGCAACTTAAGCCTAGATTATATGCAGTATAGTTTCATGGACCTGGGATGGCTTAAACCTTTACGGCTTTTGTTGACGGGAAAGAAATAAAAGTCCTACGGTTTGTAAGGAAATTCAGAATTCCGACTAAACGTACATATGAACAAAGACTTGCGTGTGCCGGGAAAAAGGTGCGAGGTAAAAGGATCCTTTTACTGTTTAAAACAGCTACATGTGAGCTTTCTACATGCTTTGTATTTTGCTGGTTTGGATAATTATTATTTTGTACCCATCAGCCCAACCCCTCCCCATCCAGACTTCACTAACTGGTATGAACAACCCAATCGTGGAGACGGAGGTCTAAACTCTGCCCCACCCCCGCCTACCTAAGATCCCTGGATTTTAGTTGGCAAAAGTCACTTTTGAGTTTCTAGCAGTGAGGCATTTATTAGAGAGGTATACGTAAATATCCCTGTATTAACCCCCCCTTAACTACCGCCCTCATCCCACCCTCCCTCAGAGACAAACTGGGCGCAGGGGAAAAGGAGGCCGTCCGCAGACTGGAGAATCGGGGGCCAGTCACATCCCTCCGGCTCGAATTTCTCCCCATGATTTGGGCAGTGCAGTGAGTTCCCCTGTTACCCTCCCCCTTCATGAACCTGTAAGAAAGTAAGAAAACAGTCAAAATCTATGTTGTCAGAGAAAACACCCGTATTGGTGAAAAAGTTGGGATTCTGGATCAGACAAATGTGTTTGGGAACAAAATGTATCATTAGTTCTCAATGAGCTGGGTGTGTCATCACATCCAGAAACTGTCTTCTTGTAGGTTTTCTTTTAACCAGGACTTACTTGACAGGTCAGTGGAGCAAGGGTTGGATTAGACACCATAGCAGGTTGATAGTCGCTCCTTTAACAGAGGGGGGAACTGCTCTGAGAACTGCTGCCAGTTCTCCTCTCCCACCTGGTCCTTGAAGCCATGCAGGATCTTAGGAGAGAAAACAAAATATATTTAAGCTTTCAAACTTAAAAATGCATCAAAAGCCTGAGGTTTAATAGTCTATCAGAACCAGTTTTTAGTGCAACTAGCTGGCTTGAAACAATAGCATATTTCACGACACTTCTCAGAATCACAATCATCCCCACTTCGTTATCAGTTTTCGAATGTCTGATGAGTGATCATCACAGTGTGGTAAGATACGACTAACAGGAAACCCCGCTCACAAGGCCATGATGATCGAAACCTTACCTTATAAAACATATCTCGCAGGTCATCCTTTGGGTTGACCCATGAGGCCACAGCATCACAGAAGAAAATAAAGTCCTGCAGAGATTTCATTCATTACTTCAGCACATTAAGGTAGATCCACAATATAAGTTTGAATCTGCCACATGTCTAACAGAATTAAGGAGCTCACCTGCACCACACCTGCAGGATTGACACCAATCATAACACAGATTCCCCGAAAAGCAGAGTCCTTCTCCTCGTTATCTCTAATATTCCTCAAAGACGTGCACCTGTAATTAGACACAAACCTTATAAGCATTGCAATGGTAAAATAACGGAAAACTTTCATGAAAGACCCACCATGGTCTGATGAAATGCTGCAGCTGTGGTGCCACTTCCTGAGGGCAGACGAAGCCGAGTCGGCCGATTGTAATGGCTACACATAAGGAAACAGGTTATTCAGGTCATCTCTCCTCTGGGTGTTTCTCCAACACAGCATGTGTGCATCTATGATCAAATCTCTGTTTACCTGTGTTTTCCAGCAGAGTCTTTGGGGTGTTGGGTCTGTTAATGATCTCCACCAGGTGAGGCAGCACCATACTAACGTAAGGCTGCATCTCTGCACCTACACAGAACAGGGTGAGACAAAGAACATTAGATCAGAAAGGAAAACCTCTTAAACAAAACAACCTAAAAGTTAGAAAACATCTAATCCACTTATTATCCAAGAGTAAAACATGGATAACGAGTTAGATTGGTTAATGTATAAAACATTTAAAAGATGCAAAAGTGTGAAAGCTTTAAAGAAACATTTAAAAGAAAACTGTCATCTAAGCTCTTTCATGATTAAATAATTAAAAAAAAAATTAAGATCAGCAGACCATAGAGCAGAAATCATAAATTTAATACAGCTGAGGAAATACTTTGTGTTGTCAATGCAATGTCATTAAGACAATGTTTAAAGCAGCACTATTTTTTGAGTGGTGCTCCCCCTGCAGGACCTTTTGAAAATAACAGTGTAGTAAACAGCTTTCTGTGAGCTGAACAGCACCTTAAAGATCAGCGCTCTTCAGGATTTGGAAGACACAGATCACAACCAAATGTCTAGGTTGTATTTTAGATAATTTTTTGCTATAAAAAAAATAAATAAATAAAAAAAAAAAAGAAAGAAAGCCATGTGGCTACTGAAGTCAACAGCTTCAAATGGGGATACTGTAAAGCCATTTACCATAACAACTCAGATCAGTCATAAGAGCTGTGAAGTCCAAGGCTTCAATAGGGTTTATTAAGGTAAAAAGGTTACATAGTGCTGCTTTAAACCATGTCTGCATTAACACACATTACAATCAAGCAGAAATTAATTCATATTTAAGTTAAAGGAGAGATTGTAACTATACAACTCTACACACGACTGACGATATGAAGAATTCAGGATCTGGATCAGAAAATGTTTTGGGAACAAAATGTATCATTGTGTTTCAATGAGCTGGGTGTTTCATCATGTCCAGATTCTGGTCATTTCTTTAATAAAACATTTTGTACCGGAATCAAACTTGCAAGAGCAATAGTCTTACCCATCTGCATAGAGATCTCCCCGATGGCCCAGGTGGCATTGTTACACACAGAGATAAACTCTGGGTTCAGGTTTAGCCCCAGGATGGGCATAAACTCAGCTGGAAGGAGACAAAAATAAAATCAATAAATACTCAATGTTGGACAACAACACAGGAGAGCAGCAGAAACGCGTCCATTTCTAGGGATTAAAGCGACTCACCAATGCAGGGTTTCACATGAAGAAAGCAGGCCTTGGTCAGATCGCCCAGCAGTGCAAAGGAGCTTTGTCTCACTTCAGGCATTGTGTCCTGAGGCAAAAAATCCAATGAAGGTTAATCAGGTTAAAACTAAACATTGTAGACCTACAGAAATTCTCCTCTAATATTCAAACTATTCATGTAAAAGGTCACACCTGCATGCATTGAAAAAGCAGGGTCATTATGTTGGAGCGAGCCACTAGTTGCTCCACATGGCCACCGAGCCCCTCTGCAAGCCCACTCAGCAGGTCCAAAGCAACGATCATGAAGTCCTTGTCTGGAGCCTCATACTGGTCTGGCTGCTGGTTATACATCTGGAGAGACAGCAGAGAGTGGAAGCTTTATGGTTTTACAAAACTAAGTTTATGAGAGAAAAAAAAAAAAAAAAAAAAAAAGGAAATACTGCTCGATTATGTTTCTGTTCCTACCATAGCCTGAGCAAGCGTCTTCTGAACTAAAGTGACACAGCGCTGATAAACCGGCTCGCAATACGGCAGAAAGCCACTCTGCAGGGCTGTGGCTACAGACGACAGACACTGAGAGAAAATTCACAGCACGAATGTTAGGCTTTTATCTAAACGCCACAGCTTATGAAGTTACCATTGTTTTATTTAGAAGATATTAATCATCTACAAAGAAGAACTGATAAAAAGATACTTGCCTCTAAAAGTGGAAAGAGATCCTTGTCTTCATCTTTCAGCAGATTCCACTTGGCTATTAAAGGAGGCATCAGCTTCTGAATGTACTCCTGGAAAACAGAACCAAGATTTGATTTAAAGACAAATTGGGGAATTCAACAAGTAAAAATCTGATTTTTTTCCTTAGACTTCAAATAGGGAAAAGCAGACAAAAGCAAAAAATAATCAAAACCCTTTCCCCTTTATGGGCTGTAGCCTTTAAAGGTGATCTGAATTTCTCAGATCAGATCCAAGCTTTGATTTAAGATCTAAGGAAAAGAGGAAAGACTTGCTTTTTACTTTAAAAAGACACTCACAGCTTGGTTGAGATGGTGACCCACTGAATCCGCAAGAGTCCCAATGGCATCATAGAGGATGAGGAGATTCTTGTGCTGGTACTTTCCAAAGGCAAAAACCAGAGTGTCCAGGATGAAGCTCAGGTAAGGAACCAGTTCTGTGCATGCTTCCTCCTCCAAGGTGGCAAAGGAGCTAAAACACAAGGCAGAAATCCTTAATGTTCCTCATCCTAGATCAAATTCATGAGGTTTCTGGAAGTATGCAGCATGTGGATCAGAACAAACAATATGGGAACAATGTGTATCATTGTTTTATCAATGAGCTGGGTGTTTCATCATGTCCACATAAGGAGAAGTGGAGGAGAGGGAAGCTGCTCACCTGCAGGCAGCCTCCTGGACTCTCTTGTTGCTGTCCAAGATGCGTTTCAGAAGCTCCGTCATCAGCGGTTTGAGGTAGGAGTCAGGGGGCTGGGACACCACCCAATGCGCGTAGCGACTCAAAGTCCAGCAAGCGATGGAGCGCACCAGGGCCTTCTTGTCACTCAGACTCTGGATGAGGTGGGGGATGAGCTCTGGCAGGTAGGGCACCATGCCCTGCATGCAACCTGAATAGGAATACAAATAACAAGGTTACTTTTACCATTTATTCAGCAATGGACCAAATCCAACGACAGTGGCTGCGATAAAAAAAGACAAAGGAGATGTTTTCATAAGATGTTTCTAGAGTCAAATACCCCTACATGCTTATGTCTATAGCTAATAGCAAAGCTTGAATGATCATTTGCTTAAATGGGTCGATTTCATGCAAATTCCAGCATTTTATTGCTTTAGTGGTAGAATTAGGTGTATAGCCATAAAGCAATTTAGTTTATACTGAATAAAAATCTCAACCCTGATTTAAAAGGTCATCAACTCACCTTCAGCTATGGCTCCAAGCACCAAAATACCAGACTCCTTCACGACCCAGTCTGGATGGAAGAGCAACCCTTTGAGCAGCGGCAGGAGGTGGGGGAGCAGCTCATCGCGGAACACGTTAGCCAGAACGTCGAGTGCTGCAGCCGAACACTTGCCTATAAATAAGTGACAACGATTGATTAACTAGTGAGGTTTCAGTTAGCAGTTGAAAACACCTCAGCCTGCAGATATTTGCATTTTTTTAATGAATCAGTCAATGAAAGCTGATTCATTAGAGAATTCAAGCTCTTCTATTTTTTTATGATTTGTCCATCATCCTCACCTGAATAGAAAAAAGCATATGCCGCAAATATCGGCCGAAAAATAAACATCTAGTAAAACTATTAGCTTCACATGTAAATCTCCTTTCATCAAAACTTGAGAAATAGGGATTCCTTTTCACTCACGTAGGTTCCAGTCTGTAAGTGCATCATCATCATCGTCCTCATCATCATCTTCAATGTCTTCATCCTCCTCTCCCTCCCCTCCTTCATGTTGCAGGGTGACCGTGCGTGACTTGTGGAAGCGGGGCTTGATGTCCTGCTCGCTGTCGGGCACCGCCTCGTCTTCTTCCACATCACCCTGAAATATCAGGAAGAAAAGCCTCAGCACCCCACTGGTTGATAAGCTCTGTACAGCTCACTCAAATGCTTGGAATCTGTGGGTTTAATGTAGACCCTCAGTATTACTCTGATCTAATGTTTTAACAGACCGCTGTTCTTACCTTCAACAGTATGATGTCGATTTCAGAGTACTTCATGCCGTTTACTAAAACAGGAATCAGCCTGTAGTGACAGAAGAACTTGGTATCAGAATGAGAAAGACGCGTTTTATGTTTTCACACATACAAACGACTCATCAACTAACTGCATAGTTGTAGATCAGTGTTAGAAGCTGTTTATTATTCAACACTACTTGTTGCTCCATCATTGATCCACATCTTTTTTTTGTTCATCGTTTACATCATTCTACCTTCCTTGTCCTACTTTCTTTAGCTTTGTGGAGATGCTAGCACTTCTACTGGCACAACATAAGTATCACAATACCTATTACAGGTTTATCGGCTTCATCTTTACACTTCAAGATTTTTCTGAACAAATATCTTATTTGATTCTGTGTGAATTAACCCTAAAGCCTGTTTTTGCTTGCTGAGTCCAAGAGGTCAAATTAGGCCCTTTTATCGTCCGCATTCCTCTGGGCTTCCTGACTTTTCAACATCATTCTACCTTTTAAAGTTATGTTCTACTCATTTACAATCACAAAAATAAAATAATCCAAATTAAAACCAAATGAGATCTGTGGTTGTAAGAATAAAGATAAAAAATAAAGAAAGTTTAACATTAAACTCAAATCCAGCTTATGCATTTGTTAACAGTGACTACATATTAGGAGCACAGGCTACTCACTGCACCAGGTGTCCGGACAGCGCCTCCTTACAAATGGGCTGCTCCGCTAAGGTCAACCAGAACTCACAGGCTTCCAGAGCCACATTCTCATCGGGATCCTGAGTTCGCTGCAGCATATACTTTAAAGGATAATAGATATAGATGTAATACCATGAGTCAAAGGCAAAAAAACGCACCACAACCAACCGCCATTCTGAACCTACCTGTATAATGCTGTGCATTTGGGGGATTAGACGGTCAATGCGGACCTCCAGCAACATGACCAGGGCTCTGCAGATGTTTTTACGGACCTCAGAGTCTTCGTCTGCTGCCAGCACAAACAGACTCTTAAAAAAAAATTATAATAATGTAAGGACAATTTTGTTCATATAATCGATAAAGCTTTGAAAAAATAAAATAAAATATCACACAGCTAACCTCTATGAAGGTGTCAATGTTTTCCATGAGGGCCTGGGCTCTTCCAATGATGAACTGGTTCACACAGGCTATGGCATGGGACCTGCAAAAAAGGAATTAAAAATACAGCTTTTAGAGTTAAAGAGGAAAGATTGCTCTCATTTCAGCTAAATGTAAAGGAAAACCAAAATGCTGGTAAATGCACACATATGACCAATCTACTCCTGTTGCTCCGCAAACATTGCTTCAGGAGCAGGAAAAACTCATCTGAAACTTCATGACATGTTTAGCATTTCCTCCTCCCTGCTGTACCTAATCTTTGGACTGCAATGCTTGAAGAACTGAAGAAATTTAGGTATCATAACGTTGAGGGGCCTGTTCAGCGCGTCGCTGTCCAGCAGCTCCGACGAGTCCTCGCAGATCTTCTGCAGCGCACCGAACGAGCCCTGAGACACGGACATACACAGAAAGGCTGTCAAATCAAACGCAAACATAGACGGGAGACACAGAGGAGAGAACGAAACGGCATCAGATGATCAATGTGGAGCAAAGGATCACTGCACACACTTTGGCTTTCAAACTGTCTTCTAATTATCTATCGGTTGTTTCACCAATGGTAAGTAATTAGGGCACATAATCATGGTAGAGCTGTATTAAATGTAATAAACAGAATCACTTGACTGCTACTTTTGCCAAGATACAATCTGATCAATTTTATCAATGCAACACTTAAAAATGAAAAGGCTTCGGAACGTTGTATGTACATTGTATGTTTTGACTGTAGCGACATAAAGTCATAGGTGCTGACCTCACAGGTGTTATAGTCCTCCGAGTCGAGCAAGTTGCAGAGCTGTGGCAGGAGCTCCGGCCATGACTGGAGCTCTCCTTTGGAGGCGATTGTAGTGATGAGGATACCTGGGAGAGCAAAGACGACGGAGGTTAAATGATTTAAAAATCCAACACAATATACAAACAAATTCATTAAGGTGGCTCTGGATCAGACAGTATGAATACAAACACCTTCATGATTAATCAGATGTTTTAGATGCATCATATCCAGACAGTAACATGGCTAATATGTAGCCTGGAATTAGCCTAATTAAGTGTTTAGAGGAGTTTTAATTTTAAAATCAATATAGTCTTAAAACATATATGTATACCTACACAAGCCCTGTACATATTGGGTATCGGTTAGACTTAATAATAACCAGTTTCTGCGTTTAAAAAAAAAAAATCAGTTGATTTCTATTGTCACCGACACAAAACGTACCAATGGTGGCCCGAATAAGTGGTGACGGATCACCAATGCTGTTGAGGCATTCCCGCTTGATGAAATCAGAAACTCCCGAAGGGAAGTTCTGATAGTGAGCCTTAACATTGTTCTTCAGTATCAAACCACTTAAGGAGCGAGTCGGCTCATCTGGGACAATAAAGAAAAAAAGTTAGAATTTTGTGAATGTTATACAGAACAGCAAACACGCAAATGAATTATGTGCAATGCAGAAATCACTGTTATTTTACAGAAAACATGTAGACCTAAACTCTTCCACACATACAAATGATTGGGGGGGAAAGACAGGTCCAATATTTAGCACCAACTTGTTCTTTTTCTTTTTATACGTTCAATTAGATTCAGCTGATTTATGTCTCATAATAAGACAAAAACCCAAGCTAAACGCCTGCAGCTGAGGCGTAGGAGTGAACATTGTATAACTTCTGCGTCAACGTACTTCAGAAGTGTTTACATTCCCACTTGCAGAAGAATGTGCCGAAACATGGTTTACGAAGCAAGAAAATAACATTGACTTTATTGAAAAATAAAGCATGACAAATTAAACATGACTAAGGCACTTTCATTCCAGAGTGTCAATCCTAACTGTCAAATTTAAAAGAAAAGTCTGAATATAAAAAGAGACATACCTTCGGTTTTGAGTCTTGTGAGGACAAAGATGAGATAATTGTTGAAATCAGGAAACTGGTTGAGTTGCTCAAGTTTCTAGTAAAGCAGTTAAGGACCATTTTGTTCACACAAAAAAAAACTAACAAAAAAATTAGACTGTAGCTGAACAACATGAAACATTTGTGTGTGAGCTTAATTTCCCAAAACAGTACTTACAGGGTTCTGACTACATGCAACATGAGATATTCAAGGCTCCGTTAAAAGGGGACAATGTCCTGATTAAATTATACGTCCATTTCACTAGATTCTTGAGAATCTCTAAGTTATTTGGGAGTGGTGGACTAGTGGTTAGGGCCTTGTGCTTGGATCCCAGAGGCTCCGAGTTAAGCCCCATTCCCACACTGCTCCCAAAAGGATGGGTTTAATGGGTTAAATGCAAGAGATGAAATTTCATTGCTTTGTACTTGGGAAAACTTAATGACAATAAAGTTGAATTCTAATCTTAGGGAAAGAACCTACACTATAAGAGGATTACATGTTTGGAAGTGATTTTAGTAACGCTAAAAGTTGATATCAGAATGTTTAAATTGGAAAGTTAAGCTGTCATTTGGCTTTAAGTAAACTCAGTATTAGAATCTGGTCACCAAACTGTAACCAGTGCTATGCCTGTAACTAAAAACACAGCAGCAGGATACTTGTTGGACAGCTCTTTGTGTCACTGTGTTGGGCGACTGGGAGTCTTTGAGTAGCTGGAGGACCTGCTGGAGTCCTTGCTCATCTGGCTGCCAATCCATCCTGTTAACACACAAATAATTTACATTGTTTGTTAACATGGAAATTAACTGGGACAAAAAAAAAATAAATGGAGGAAAACATGTGGTCTCTGGATCAGACAGTATGAATACAAACACCATCACAGAAGGTCAGAGGTTATTTTTAATGCATCATCTCCAGTCCACATGTGCAGTTAGATTAGCACAAAGCCAAAAATGAATAAGCGCCCACGTTGCGTTGGTTCAGGTAAAACAAAATCCAGACTGCTAGCACGTGGATATTAAATATAACGTGTTTGCGGCACAAAAACAAAACTATTAGACCAGTCGGCCAACTAAAATCTCCGTGACCCGGCTTAACCACCTCATGTTAATCTCATCCCCACCCCCACGCCACACGGTGCACCAGTTCACGCAGCTCGGCGCAACATTTTAGTAGCGATTTCAACGCAGTAGTTTGTGTTGAGTGGGTGGGCCAAAAGACACGCGGGTAGCCGCAGGGGTCGCGTGTGAGGAAAAAGTTCAAACGAAATCTGCGAGTGTTTGTTCTATTATAAAAAAATTATCACGATCAAATACACAATTACTTTTTTTTTATCTGGATCAATACACTGAGGTTTAATTTCTAGCACATTCTAATTAATCTATTTTGTACAGCAAACCTGATGCTGCAAAAGTTGCCCTTCTTCCTCGGGCCTACTACTTGGAGAGGGAGTTCTCCCGGCTGAGTGCTCACAATGCGCCCTATGATCGAGCTTTAAACTCCAGACTTTTACGTAAACGGATCAGATACGTTGATATTCTGAAAACGAAAACACCCAAGTACACATTAAACCTAACCAACTAATAAAATTAATCCAGCGGTAATTACAGACCCTATGAACACGTTTTCCCGGCTACCATTAGCCGCTAAGCTGCTAATGCTAATCGTACTAGCCGCTCTACCGTCGACATTATCTTTTACTCGTTTGATTTATTAACGTCTAACCGAAAACGTAATGTGAACAATGTAATAACATACTTCGTATGAAGTAACACACCACGAAACTGTACCTACAATATCGGTTAGAACGAGATATAACCAGTGCTGGGCCGTTCGTCTTCTGCTTCGTTTCAGTTTCACTGGTTCAAATGAGCACGCCGACTTAAATTGACCTGCAACGGCTTCCGTTAAGCGCAGGATTTTACCTAACTGAAGTCACGCGATATTATGTTAGCAGCGTTTGTTAAAACTTATGACTGAAGTGTTTTCTCGTTTTTAATTCATCTATTTGGATTCCTTTTCATATTTACAATAAAATATATTTTATCAATCACCTGATAAATGTATATTATGTTATATTTAAAGATTTGTGTGATTAATGAATAATAACATATTTACAAATGTTTTTATATTTATATTCCTTGTACAAAAAGTTGGGGGGGGGGGAATCTTGATTAGTTCAGCACATTTAAGGGAAACTGTGTTGTGTCAAGTTGAAAAATATGAAAAGAATTTTAGCTCTTGCAGCTTTCGTCTGAAAAAATCCAAAACCACATTTTGATATAAATGAAGGACAGCAGACAGAGTAAGGGAAAAATCCAGTTCACAGAATGCCTCCAAAAGATTTCAACATCATTATTATTTTGGCAAAAAAGTGAGATGGCTTATTGTTTTCGTTTCCAACAGCAGTTTCGGCCTCAAAACTCTGTCATTGGTTACATTTCAGACCATCTTTTCTTATTGCTTAATTATTAACTTGTCTGAACCACTACTGTTAAACCCAAGGTTTTATATATATTTGTGAATAAAGGCTTTCACTGTGTTTTCAGTGGCAGTTCCAGACCAAATTTACCAAGGGGCGCAGGGTGGGGCCAATGCTTTCAAATGGGAAACATAACAAAAGAGCGAAACAAAAAACTAATCTTTAAATAGTAAGTATGATGCAGAACCAATGAGCCAGTTGCAGCCCAGGAGAAACCAGATATAGCAGGTAAAAACTGTGATTAACACCTTGATTTTGAAATCATCATTGAAACTGTACAAGAAAACAATACAAGGTGACCCAAGGGACCAATCATTTATGGTTTCTGCAACAGAACCTATAATTAATTTGGTATTACATCTTTAGCACAGGGGCACTGTTGCCTATCTCTAGGCGGCCATGTGTGGTTTGCTAAAATCGCAAAATCTCTAAAATAGATTTGTTAACCCTTTATAGATTGATAGATAACGTTTATTTTACACGATTCTAAAACAGAGTAGGTGGATAAAGAGAGTGTAAAATGAAACTGAACAAAAAAATATTTTATTCCCAATTTAATAAAGAGGGAAAATATTAAAACATCTCTGACCTAATAAATTGTGAAAACCTAAATTATTTTAAGTAAGAAACGAGCACTGCTATCAAACCCAATAAAAACACCAATAACAATAGTAATAAAAAATACTGCTCAAGTGTGATGATGCTCAAACCTATTGATATTTAGAGACAAGTGATTTGTCAACTCGTTTTATTAGTTGAATAAAGGCAAATATGCCTGGTAATGAGCGCTATCAAGATAACGCAACCTAAACTCTGTTGATCCAGATGGAGTTACCCACTTCTTCTTTGAAATGGGTGAGAAATACCATTCGAGTCCTTTTATTACCTGTTTTAAGTTCTCATAAGATGCAGCTTATGGAGCCACAGGAATTCATAAGAAAAACACTCAGTAAGTCCCATGTTTTAAACACCACAGCTGTAACATCTAGGATATTTTAAAGAAACAATAAACCACTGAGTTTTATTTTTAATCACTTTAGTGCAGAAAAATGGCTGCAGTAAAATTAAAAACAATTTTTTTTGTGTTTTAATCAGGTTTTAAAACAGCACCTTGCTGATATACATTCCCATTGAGTGAGGTTTTATTGTAGGTCACAGGTCTGTACTATCTGAAATCAATGGCTGTGTAGCATGTGGGCTTAATCCCTGTGTATCTGAGGAGCAACATCATGATATTAGTGGATTTTTGATCCTTCAGGATCCCTCACTCTTCTTTCCCTCATGTTTAAAAGTTGGATTAACTTGCATATCAAACAAAGCAGCTTAACTTTGTTGTCTCAGAATATTAGAGATGTTTGTTCATTTCATCAGCCAGACTGACATGAATTAAATCTCTTAATAAGTCTCTTAATGTTGATAAAATTAAGGTTCAAAACATGTTCCTATTCTGCTCTAATTCAAAATCGTACTAATCATATTGAATGACAAAAAAGAGGACACTAAAATAGAATAAAGTATAAAAATCAGAAGAGATTTATTTTTTTTAAACAAAGTGTAATTAGATTTATATGTATATATAAAAAAAAAAAACAGGATTACAAGAAATCTTAAAATGTTGAAGGTCACAAAATACGATATAAAACTGAAGCATTTTGTGCTTAGTCCCTTTGACTATATTTCATAATATGAAAATACTGTCAATAAAAAAAAAAAAACACTGAAAATGAATGTCTGTGGTCCAGACATAGTTACTCCACCATTATTTCTAAAGCGGAGGGCATGAAGTGCTTTTCATAACCTGAGGTAGACTGTTCTTCTTCTGATGAGCTCCAACCATCATTCTTCTCTTCATCCGAGTCAACCATTTTACTGTACTCCTTCCTCTCGAATCCGCTGTCTGTACTGTCTGTGTTCTCTGTGCCAAGATCCTGTTTCTGATCATCCTGGCAGTCCATCTGAGAGAAACCATTCTCTTTTCTTATCCCGTCTGGCTCAAATACCTTCGATTTTATTGCAACAACTTCCAAGACAGAGATTTTCGGACTAGGTTCATGAAGAGGAACGCAAATCCAAGTCAAGGGCTCGTTAACCTACAAAAACAGAAGAAAAGAGAAAATTATGATCTTTTTGTATATGTAGGTAAAAAAACAAAATAAAAGTGATTCATGGGACATAAGTAGTAAAAAGCATCTCTAATAAGCTATTTAAATTGATTAATTTGGTATTAGATTTTCTGCTCACCTTAAGCCTCATCTGTCTGAAGATCTTGCTATTGCTGGGATCTGGCACTTTCTCATTAAGGCACTGAGGTAGGAGAGGCCACATTTTGTTGACTCCTCGGAAGAAACTGGTTGGAAAAACAAACAAAAATAAAAAGAGAAAGAAACAATAAATCACTTCAGGCACCCTCATGGTCACTTATTGCAAGATACAAGAAAAAGGGAAGTCCTGTCTTTTCATAGCCCGTCACATTCACACAATACAGACAGGATAATTACTAACCTAAATAAAATTATCTTTACATAAAAATGAACGACAAAATAATTATACACCCTAGGCTTATTTAAAGTAAGTTTTACGTGCTTTTACTGCCAAAATGGTTCTAGGATAAAACTGTAGATTAATTTATCTTCAACCATAATGAGCACAAATGCCTTCATACATTGTGAAACTTTTCACAAACAAACAAACCTGTCTGTATTTCATAGGGTTTTGATGTGATGGAGCAATAAAAACTAATAAATATAATGAAGAGGAAGAAGAAAGGTAAAATACATGGCTACCAAACTTCTCAGCAATATAATGATGGAGGCTTCACCTCAGCCAAGTAAGATCCACACATCAGCCATTTAATTAAATAAATAGGGCGACAGTGGCGTGGGGTATAGGAGTTTGCCATGAAATTGAAGGATTGACGGTTCAAGCTCCAGCTTTCAGTGTCATGTCCTTGGGCAAGACACTTCGCCTGAATTGTCTACTGATGGTGGTCAGAGGGCCCAGTGGCACCAGTGTATTTTGAGTCTCTATACTCAAGTTAATGATCAATCGATTACAAAATTAGTTGACAATTATTTCAATAATCCATTAATCCCAAAAAATCTGATTGTTTCAGCTCTAAAATACATATCCAACTGATTTGTAAGGCTTCATGCGAATCCTAGGGAAAATAAGCAAACGTGATCATAGAAGGTCAAGGAATCCAGCACACAGGTTTGGGATACAGTGGTCAAGAAGTTGGAAGAAGGTGGAAGTTAGAAAAACCTTATCCTAAGCTTTTAACATCTCAGAGCTCTGCTCAATCTGTAACTTCGAAAAGAACAACAGGAAAAATCCGGAATCACAGCCACCCACTTAAACTGACTGAGCGAGGGAGCAGCCAAGAGGCCAATGGTGGAGCTTTATGCTTTAAGACATGCTGTCTGGGAGCACCATGCTGTGTTTATTTGATTTTTTAACAAGAAAAGGAAGCTGTAATAATACACTGCAAAAAAATGGAAATCCAAGTACATTTCCTTAGAATAAGTGCTTTTTAGAGTTGAAAAGGTAAATGACACATATTACTCGTGGAATAAGACAATTTCCATTTAAATTAAGAAAAAATTTCAACCGCATAATATCTAATGATCTTATCCTAAGGGTAAAAAATATTAATTCCATTAACAGATCCTATGTACCTACTCAAATTAAGGGTAAATTCACTTATTTAAAGAAATGTTTACCCATTTTTATATTGCAATTGCAGTTTACCCAAACAAAAACAAACACCTCTCATTTCACATCATTCAATCCTTGCACTGCTTATGGTTAGGATACTTAAAAAAAAAAATAAATCTATTTACTTTTATCAGCAGACATAATGTAAAAACATTGAAGGGATATGAAACGTTCTGCACAGCAAAGGAACAATAAACAAACAAACATAATTGGGCCGCTCAAAAAAATGTCTTCAAAGAAGGTAGCAGTCATTTTCTCACCTTAGTAAGTAACCACAGAGGCATATGATAACCGCCAACAAGACCACCAGAAAGGTAACCAAATATACTGAGAAGCAAAATGAAAAGTTAAATTCACAAATATATTCTCAGTGATAGTAACAGTTAAAGATATTTATATGCATATCATACCTGACATCATTCTATATCCTTCATGAGGATTAATCCTGAATGTTCTGGTGACCTTGGGACTGGGCCCAGCCTTGCTCACAGCTCTTATCCAAACCTGGTACTCTTCACCTGGGCTAAGATCCGACAGCTTGTAAGTCATGCCTTCATGATCTGGGGTTACACTCACGTTGTACACTAGGAAAAATAGGATAATTATCAGAGACAGAGGTTTATTTGTTGATTTAAAGAAAATGTGCAACAAGTAGAAGAGTACTACAAAAAAAGAAAAATCAGTTATCATTTAATTCTAACATACATATGAAATCAATAGCCTAAAGGCTGGTTTATACTTAGAAACCAGGTTGTCTCTGTGTGTGTCGCAGTGAATGCAAATTTGCTGCCACCCTGCCACAAACACTCCACTGCACCTCTCCAAATTTGTAAGTGACCGCAGACAGGAGGCATCTGATTGGTCAAATCTACATCCTCTCTACTCTATGCGCATTTCCTGTTTAGTACCTTACCGGCCTGTTTTGTTTGTATGACCACCATTGTGGACCAGGTAGAAGAGTGAGGTGCGCAAGAACGCTGGGACCCTTTTTCCACCTGGATCCCCGCTCTTTTTCACCCTCATGTCCCTCCGTTGTCGCACAAACCTGCCCCCACTTCCTCACCGCTTCAGCCGTATTTAGACCCACAGCTAGTTCATGATTGTCCCTCTGGCGTTGTGGAGTGGAATAACATAGAGCAGACCACGCTTCAATATTGGGCATAAATCAAAAATATCTGCTTCATACCTGCGACAAGCTCACTGTGAAACACGGGAGTATAACCAGCCCTTCAATCTCCCAGATATGGAAGAATTGGCAATACTTCTGCGAGTAAAACCAGAAATAAAAATATTGTTTCTCTAGTTATTAACTCTAACCCTACCTCCTATGTGAGATGATAAACAATTCTCTAATAATGATCAGCACATCATATTATCACATACATTCACATTTCTCAATATATTTCTTAATGTTTTTTCACGTAGCCTACTTTAAAGTATATTTCAGTGACATACATTTACTTTCTTTAAAATGTTCTTGTTTAAAATAACTCAACTCCTGCGTTATTAAGTCCAAATGGCCGGAAAATTAAGGTAACCATTTCCACCGCCACACACAATGCTGTGGTATTAATCCACTATGCGTATCGGTTTATTATATACAGCGGCAAATTCTGTTTTTCCTAACCTTGTTCTTCCTTCATTTTTATAAAATCCATTGTAGTTAAATGAACTATTTTCTACCTCTTTGTGTGCTCACTCCAATTTGGTAGTACAGGATCATCGCACTCTGGTTGCAGCTGGGAACAGGCTTCCAGAACAGAGTCATCTCAGTGCCAGTGATTTCAGAGCGATCGAATACAGGTGCAACCGAGGGAACTGATGGGAGAAAGAGACAGATATTGAGTTCATCACTTCTTTAACATAAGAAAGATAGACCAACAAGGAGCTTCTCGAGGATAAATCAATATGCCAACCTCTCTGAGAAGAATATCCTCTAGCAGTAGCAAGATGTCTGACTTCATTCAAGTTGGACACGACAAACAGCGACACTTGGTAGGGTGTGTAGTTTTTAAATGCACCTATAGAAAGAGACTCACTTTGTTAAAGAACCAAACAACAGTTGCAACAGTTCACCAAAACAGACAAAAGAGACAAACCTTTAAAAAAGCCTGTTGTCTGATGGTTGTTCACTTTGATCCAGTCAAATTCCCCCAACCCACAGTCTTTATATTGCACCACATACTGTTTGACCTGGTCAGAGAAATTAGGGGGCGGGTTCCAGGACACAGTGAGGTTCTCACTGTTCATTTCAAGGTCAATGTTTGGAAAGTCTGCTTGTTTATCTTAACAGAAGAAAAAATATATTATTGTTAGACCTAAAAAAATAACTGATTGATAAAGACAAACCTCTATGTAGCATAAACAGTCAGAAAATAAAGGGAGAAATTCAGCCAAGCAAAGCTAGAGAACTGAACTTATTTAGGGATTTTATAGCCATATGATGACTACAGGTATTTTCACGCTTTAATTCACAGATGCTGGTGAATATTCTCAGTCATTCAGGTCATAGTCATTCCAACAAAGTAAAAAAAAAAGTAAACAACAAAAAAAAAAAACACTGGACGTTGTTTTCCATGTTGAAGATGTTTTGCTTCCCACCCAGAAAGCTTTCTCAATTATTCATTTCTAGATTAGCATTGAGTTCCAGGCTAGAACTGTGAGAACAACTCCCTTTTCAGAGGTGTGGTCAGTATCAGGTTTTGTAGGCCAACAACGACCTCAACTCCCCACTAAGGGGGATGGACCTGTTTTTTTTCGGTTCAATTAGCATGTTTTCTAAGCCATGACAAGGCTTTTGTTTGGGCTACTCTATAAGCCTGGAACTCAAACGCTTCCTGGATGGGAAGTGAAATCTCTTAAAAATAGTAAAACAAAGTCCAGTGGTTTGTTTTTTCACTTTTTTAACTTTAATTCACAGAGCTGCCTCAGAGATCCCCTGCTAAAATTAATTATTTCTTGCCCAAAAACGACAATGACGTCTAACGAACATATACCTGGTGTTAGCATAGGTAACGGAGATGCTTTTGTAGCACCGAGAGCATTGTAGGCTGATATATTAACAGATGACACATCCTTCAGAGGTGAAGTGAGGCGCCACTTCATCCCATCAAAAATGTAGAGACTGCTTGGGTCGTCAGTGGACACATTCATCAGTTGTATGGTGCCGTTATTGTAGAGAACTGTGACTTCATAACTTAGGATGTACCCTCGTGCCTGAGAATTAGAGAGATTCTGGACAAGCCAGAGACAAGGAGATGGTGCTGAGTAAAAATTTATAGAGTGGTCTTTTAAGTTCATCATCAGCTTACCTTCCAATTTAGAAAACAGCTTGACGGCCCACAGTCCCACCATGCATCCACTTCTCCAACTGGGGCTGGAAAGTGAATGAAGATGGCAGGAAGGTTAAAAACCCAGCATAACCTAAAGACATTTTTCAGGAAAAAAAAACTTTCCAGATCACGTAAAAACATTTAAAAAATATTGTGGAATGAATGTTGTTTTTTCCTGACAGATTAATATGCAGTTGAACCTTGGGAGACTCACAGAGAAAAGCTGCAATTAGAAAAGTGTTTTTCTATTTATGTATACAGGTAAAACAATCATATTCTTCAGAATTTCTCTCTCTAATGAAAACCAGTTGATTGCATCACTCATTGATTCAATGCAACCAAAAAAAAAAAAAAAAAAAAGAGAACTCGAAAACCTCTTAACCTCTGGATGTATCTCAATGAAAAGAGGAATTTGATGAGTTTGTGCAATCCCACATCTTAACTTTAACTGAACAAACACAACACTTAAAATTTACAACACAACTTCACAGAGCAGGGTTTATAAAAGACTAGTTCCACAATATAAAGGATGAGGGAAAAAAAAAATGGACGCATGTCTGTTTGTCCTCACCTCAACCTCACATACACTAATGGAAACCCTGGTGACCACATTAGGCATTAACAGACTGTTGAGAACATGTAATAAGCAGAGAAGTTCTGGGAACTTTTCCAACGTTGCTTCTCAAACAAATAACTCTGCTGCCCAACCCAAAAACAATTATCTAATGATAACAGTTCATTGGTCCTCACAACTGTTTAAGTTTCATCGTCAAGAAGAAAATTCTTCTGATCCAAGCAGGCATGCACAAGACAATAAAGCACATTTACATTTCTAATCAAATACCTATAAATAAATAAATACTCACCAGACTCTGCACTTTTTATTGAGAAGGTTTCACTCCAGTCACTGAAGAGGCTTGAGTCACATTTACAACGAACCTGAAATTCATAGACGGTGTTGGGCTGGGGATCCAAGTGTGCAAAGCTGCTAGTTAATTCCTCCTCATACTGAGAAAAATGAGCAAACAGTTTCATTATTAACTCATTAAAGAAAGGAAGAAGGTGCACAATTATTAGCAAAAGAGACCTGAATGTGGTTTCTGTCTTCCTCTGTATTATATGCAACTTTACAGTCTTCAACACTTTGCTGCAGTTTCTCACAGCTGTTGTTCCAGAAGATCTCTAATGGATCTCGAGAGCCGAATTGAAATTGAGGAGGAGAGGGCTTGACTAGTGACATGAGGGAAGAGCAAGACGGACACAGATAAGACAGATTTAGTAGGCTCAATATTTCCTAATAGAATCAGAGACCATTTTAACTGATATTAAGAGATTTTACTGCTTACTGATGTTTTGTGTGTGGATAACAACTGGCTCAGATTCAACAGAACCAAACTGGTTCTTTGCCTGGACCCAAACAAGGAGTTCTGCATGGCTCTCAAACTGTGCACGACGGATCAGACCATCTGAACTACTCCTGTTCACCTTCTCATCCCTGGAAACAAAACAAGAGAGGGCATGACAGGGCATGGCAAAAACACAGGGCCTAATAATGCTTAGTTTTTGTGGGGGATAATGATGTTTCCAAGTTGTGCTTACTCTGCATTTTTCTTCCAGTGAAGGCTGTAGGTCGTGGAGGTATCAAGGTTTGGCTTTGGATTCCAAATGCATTTTATATCTAGGCAGTGACTCCCACTACATGGTCTATGGCACTGGAGATTAGATGGAGGTGGAGGAGGACCTGGGGTTTCATAGAGAAAGGAAAAAAATCCTCAACAGGGATGGATTTTCTCTGCCATACACATGGGCATGCATACATTTTTTAAGTTAAAAAAACATGACAGGAAAAAAAAAATTCCGTTATCACAGTTGTAAATGTATGCAGACAATGTTTTCCTTCCATGGTTGCTCTTTTAGAGGACATTTCCTCTATATACTTTGTGCCCATTAAAGTTTAGTCCTGTGATGTCTGCCTCATAAACTGGTTTTGACCACATATGTTGTAGCACAGACTGTTCTATGAACAGCAAGGAAGGTATTAAACTGATATAATCTGTGCATGCTCTGTTCCATGGTACCATATTGTAATTATCATTCCGCATCAAATAAGCAAATGTAAAATGTGAAACAATTGATTGCTTCATCTTTATCATTCCTGTGGGCCAGTGTCCCACATTTACGCACATTCCCAGTCTCACTGAATTACTAGAGATGCACTGATCCGATACCTTGATTGGATATCAGCACAATATTAACTAATTAGCTGGATCAATTATATAGATTTTTTTATATTTACTATTGGGAATCCAATTCAGACCATTTATATGAAAATATATCTTTTTGTTGCTCATTTGTTAATAAAACATATAAAGTACATATATGTCTGTTAAGTTATTACCTTGTTCAAACAAAGTTTATGTCAAGGCCAAAGCCTTCACTCAAATGGCCAGATATACTGTTCATTCATTCAACAGTGGAATCGGATCATATCACGGCCGAGACGCTCAGCCCAGGTATTGATATCGGCTTGGAAAACACTGGATCGGTGCATCTCTATGAATTACCTCTTCACTTTGCAAATAGTTTAAAGACTCCTACTTATCACCTAAATGTTTGATTCATTTGTTTGGAAACACACTTAAAGACTGAGGGATACTAGCTTTTGAGGACCGGGGCTTGAGACCAAAGCTCTAAAGCAGTTTTAGCTCTAGAACTAAAATAAAACCTGGACTAACTGTGATCGTAAAGTTGATTTTTAACTCCAGCATGGTACAACTGGATCAAGCTAATTTTCCAAATTCTATCCCATTCGGCTTCCATTCCATGACCAAAAGGCAAGGCAAGTTTATTTGTAAAGCGCAACTCAGCACAAAGACACTTCAAAGTCTTTAAATGAATGAAAAATAACATTGAACAAAAATAAACGCAGAATAAAAGCAAGTAAAGATAAAAAAAAGCATGACAAAAAAAAGGTAGTAAAGCAAATACTTAAACTTAAACCAATAATAATCCAGTTATTATAAGTTTATCTTCAACAGTCAAAGGCAGCTCTAAACAAATGGGTTTTAACCTTTGACTTTAAAGAACTCAGGCTTTCAGCGCTTTTCCAGTCTTTTGTTCCAGATTAGTGGAGCATAGGAACTAAATGCTGCTTCTCCATGTTTGGTTCTAGTTCTGGGTGTACAAAGTAGGCTTGAACTGGAAGACCTGAGTGGTCTGTGACGTTGATACACTGACAATAAATCTGATAGGTATTGAGATGCTGATCCATTCAGTGATTTATAGACTAATAAAAGGATTTTAAAGTCTATTGTCTGAGCTACAGGGAACCAGTGGAAGGACTTCAGAACCAAGCTGATGTGCTCTACTTTCTTAGTTCTAGTCAGAACACGGGCAGCAGCGTAATTCGATCAACTGCACCTGTCTTGTTTTTATTTTTAAACCTATGAAGGCACTGTTGCAGTAATCAATTCTACTAAAGATAAATGCATGACTTCGATTTTTTAGATCCTGTTTGGACATTTATCCTTTACTAATGGAAATGTTCTTCGGGTGTTAAAAGGCTGACTTAGTAACTCCTTTTAACGTGACTCTGAAGAAGTCACATTAAAAATGAAAAAAAAAACTATTTCCAAACCTACAAACATAAAACCATGATATAATTCATATTTTTCTTTAGCAAAGTCATGTTGAGAATAATAGAAATGCAAGCCCATAAAATGCTTTAAACCTCTTTATAGTTCAAAAATTACATTTTAATTTCTAATGTCAATGTATCTCATCATATTACCATTTGTTTTGTTTTTGATCCCTATTTGGGCCCATTTATTCTTTAGAAAATAGAGCTTTGAGTAACATTCTGTCTGTATTTAGAATTTAGTGGATAGATTACATAAAAGTGGACAGATAAGAATACAGAAAACAACCTTTAGTTCAAATTTGTTGAACCATATAACCCAGACATGGAGTATTAAGCATTACTGGGTAGATAAAGCCCGCCCCCCAAAAAAGCATAAAAAAACAATGTAAATAACTACCTATGTTAGTAACAATTCACCCGTATAAGGACCACTTTGTGAAGCTCCTGGAGTGTGATTGAGTCAGAAAAAAATAACGTAAAATCCAAATCTAACAACTTCTCATTTTCACTACAGAGAGGAAAAAGAAAGAGACCCCTAGCCTTCTTTACTGTTGTGTGAAAATTTGATCTTGTAGGTAAGATTGTTCGAAATAAAAGCAAGAAAAAAAAAAAACTTGTTCCCTACAGATCAAAAGAAAAGTCAACAAAAGATAGGTGTGCTGTTTGATACCACAAGAAATACAAAGGATGTGTGAGTCAATCACACGCTCATCCGCCTGTCTCTCAAACACACGTTTTTTTTTCTTACATTCAACACATGCCTGTTACCTTCACCCATTTCTCATAAGCCGACGCAGCTTTTGCAGTAATCACTTCAATACCTGCACATGAGACATTACCAGAAGAAAGAGTAGCTACAGTTAACAGGAAGAAGGCTGCTTCAGTGTGAATGACTGTGTTCATCTTACAAGACCACTTCTACTTTAAAATAAAAAAACAATTCAGAGTTGAATAGAGAAAATAAGGTTGTTGAACTTAGACTGACTTTATTTATACCTTGGGATTACTCCTCACTCTTATTATTTCCCTTCATAATTGCCTTGATTAATTATGGGTATTCATTTGAGTTCTCCGCCACACCCATGATAAGCAGCCCACACTGCTCCCCACCTCACCCCTTCACCCAGGCAGCATGATAAACTCCTCTGAGTCACAGCAAACGGGCAGGCTGGGATGGTACTTTACTACATCGTCACCAAAAACATTACATGGACACTGGCCCAAGGTTTCCGAAAGAATAAATACATTTGAAAAATAACAATGGGATGGAAAAATGTAAAAATCAATGGGGTCACCATAAGTGTTGTAAGAATAGTGCAGGCAGTAAGGAAGAAGGATGAAAGTGGATTTCTCTCAATCAAAAGTTAGGGTTAGCTCGATCCAACGTTCCCACCAACATCACCTCACAGAGTTTAACAAACAGTATTTAGTGACATGTACTCTGTGTGATACTAGCAGATATAAGCACCTTCATGTTTTTTGGTTGTATAATGGAGACCTTCAGTCGTTCACTACATATCTGTAAACTTTGTCTTGTTGTAGTTCTTTTCTGGAAGGCTGTAGCCCCATTTTGTTTAGGTCTGCTGAGTGAGGCTGAGTTAGCAAAGCAGTCTTGAGTTTATTTTCCTACCCTGGATTATAGCAGGGCAGGATTTGAAATTATAATTTAGATATCTGAAATTCTAATGAAGAACGTTATTGTAGATATCTAGAAGTAAATGCCCAATACAAGTGAATGGGAAACGTGACGACATTTTTAGTAGTAAGAATTACATTTATGATATCTGAAATGTTAATTTTAGATAGGAACATTTTTATTGTAGATATTTAAAACGTGCATTTTTACTAGGAAGAAATGCATTTGAGACATCTGAAATATACATTCAGCTAAGCTAATAAAGGTCACAAGGGCCACCTAAAATTTGTAAAGATTTCTAGCTATCCGAAAGTTAGAAGTAAAATTTTTGCAGGAAAAAATGAAATTTAGGATATTTTTATGTACAGTTCTGACTAGTAGGAATGGAAAATAGTAATAATTGAACTTTATTTATCTCACATTGGTGAAATTTACCTCTGCATTTAACACATCCCCTTGGGGAGCAGTGGGCTGCCATCTTGGGGCGCCTAGGAAGCAATCAGGGGTTAAGGGTCTTGCTCTGAGACCCAGAGTGGCAATCTATGGGAGTAGGTTTGAACTCCCAACCTCAGGATTCCAAGCTCTATGCCCTAACCACTAGGCCACCACTTCCCTAATGTAGGTTTGACCAGGAAGAATCTTATTTTAGAAACCAACAAGTGGAACAAAAGATAGGACAGCATTTTTTATAAATGTCAAAACGGCCTGCCTTACTGGATAGTTTTCTTATAGTTGACCCAGTGAGGGTATAGGAGCTTGGAACAGGAAGTAGGAGCCAAATATATGATGTCATACACGCCCTGCTTTGTTTTTAAAATATATAAATATAAAAAATATAACCGTGGATGTCTGGGGGACAGTGATTCGCCTACATGTTATGAAATGCTGGCGTACCATAAAGAATAAATTAACAGTTTAGTTTGTGCCTTCAACTCGTTGCTCATAGGAAGACGTTACTTGGATATAACAAAACAGAATATCTTCAGAACAGCTCCACGTGACACAAAACTAATATGGGTGAGTAGAACATGATGTAATAACGTAAAATCAAGGGCCCAATGTAAAAAAAAAAAAAAAACGGTGTTCCCATTTAATGCAAGGGACTCGAGTTACAATCTTGGTTGCATCAGAAAGGCATCCGGTATTTAAAAAATAAAAAATAAACAAAAATGTATCAAGTCAGTGAAAAAGATAAACTGACTAGCTGTGGTAACTCTTCAATAAGGTAGCAAAAAAACAAATATATGGGTTTTGAGATTTTTTAAGCTGACATCCAAAAGCCACAAATGGTGTACCGAAAGATGTTTTAGATTGATTAAAACCATGCATACACAAAACAAGCAAATGTAGCACCTGTGCCCCCAATTGCACACACGGGACAACGCCTCATTTTCAGCCCTCTACACACCTACCTTTAACCATAAATGGTCAACGCAAAGCACTGAATGAATGTCGGTTTATTTTTGTGAGCCAGCTGAGCTCTGGCACATTTCCACACAAAGTTTGTATTTGATAGACCTCAACTTTTGCTTGGAAAAGTGACATGAAATAGTTTCAGGACTTGATAAATCAGACCCCTAATCCTGATCATGAGTTTTCCATTCACTGTTTCTGCCAAAAAAAAAGTAACTGCCCGTATTTCTACTTTTCTTTTGTTTTAAGTCTTGCTCTATTTATTCATTGGCCTTATTGTTTATGATCTTTTAGTCAATAGGCTCCTCTCCTATGGTACCAACTACCAGTTTTAGTCCATGAGGCAGACACCCTGTCTACTTTTAAGGGTAGGCTTAAAACTTTCTTTTTTGATAAAGCTTATAGTTAGAGTGGCTCAGGTTATCCTGGGCTATCGCTATAGTTATGCTGCTATAGGCTTAGACTGCTGAAGGACAAAGGGACCCCTATTTCATCATTCTATCTCTATTCTCCCACTCTGCAGAATCTGTTTAATGTCTAACATTCTGCTCTCTCTGCTTTTTCTCATAGTAGCTTTGCCTCGTCTGTTCCTGTTTGGCTGAGACACCATCCTGGGGAGAAATATCAGCTGTGCTTCTGCCATCAACACCTTTGCTTATAGATATTGCAGATCGGCCTGTTTTCCAGTGTAGTCCTGTTTCTCTGACTGTGACTGACCTGATGTGCTCTCTTTACTTCTCTAACATGGGAACTGACTTTTCCTGGACCGGGCCGCTTTTTAGAGCTGCTTTTTGTGTCTCTGCTTCTGTCTCCTTGAACCCCAGTCAGCCTCAGCAGATGGCCTCTCACACTGAGCCTGGTTCTGCTGGAGGTTTATTCCTGTTAAAAGGGAGTTTTTCCTCTCCACTGTCACTACAAGTATCCTTGGTGTGAAGGATTGCATTTGAGTCAATGAGTCGATGCAATCAACTGGTTTTCCTTAGATAGAAAACTTTGAATCAATTTGACTGTATGGTCTGTAAAGTGCCTTGAGATGACATGTGTTGTGAATTGGCGCTATATAAAAGAACTGAATTAAATTGAATCTGTTCTTGTTTTTAGCCCCATGTTCTGTCTATTTTTTTCTCTACCCATGTTGTAAACTTTTGGTCTTTGTAAACTATTGGTTTGTTAAATAAATAAAGTCAAAAATTTCAGACAACTGCAAACATATTCTAAATGTAGCTTTTAAGAAACAACAGGAAATGAGTAAATTTAGACAATACTAATCATGCAGACAGTTTAAAAGTTTTAATGCTCTGAGTAAGGAGGAAATCCGCTCAAAGCGAAGAAAAACACACGTGTCATTTATATATTTAATAAACTTACCTGGGTTAGAAAAACAACAGTGCTGTAAGGCGAACACCAGGAGCCACCAAGGCGTTGATGTGGCCATCACATTTGGATCTCAGGATTCTATAAAAACAAAAAAATATATAATTCAGCAAATTCATTCAAATTCTCCGATGTGTTGCCAGTTGCGTTCACTTCCCCCTCATTCTGTAGCGTTGTTAATAGGAAACTACATTCACTGTATGTTTTACCAAGACAAGATAATGTTTACCTCATTGCTACTTGTCACCAGCCGCATGAAGCGCATTCTGTGGCTGTGAGAGACGCGCTTTACAGAAGCTGAGTAAAGTTAATGCAGATATAAAAAAACTCCGCCCCTTTCAGGAATTGCCGATGACATAGGAGCGAGGGTAAAACAGCGTTTCCTCATGGTTTGTGTCTACTAGAAAAAAAGCGCACGCGACCCAGTCATGTTTACTGTCTTTTTTTCCTATCATACTTAAACTAGTGTACGTTCAACTTTAGAGCCGCGTAGCTGACTTTGACTCATTTTTCAAACGGAAAATTGTCGATTACAGTCATTATGGATATCTATGATTACAGTTACCTCCTGTCACATGTCGACATGCGATAGAAGGACCTCCTACTGATCAGCAGATGTGCAGAGGCGTAGCAATAAAATTCTTATAAGGGTGCCCATGCAATAACCAATGTACTCTGAGGGGTGGCCGAAAGCGGATAGACATCAACCTTAGGGTCAATCTACACTGATCTTACACTGAGCTTACTCACTGAATTAGAAAACATCTGCATTCACATCTGCAAAGATAAACATATTCATATTTGCATTATTTTAGAGAGTTCTCCCATTACTTGCAGTTTGCATCCTGGACAGCTGACTGTAGAGCAGCAAGTATTGAACGATTAAGGGAACGAATAGAAAAAAAATATATATTTTTGTTAATATAATTTCAGGTATATTTTATTACTTCAGCTCTAATGCAGTAAAACTGAATATGTGATTTCATAGAGAACTAAGTCAAGGCAAATTTATTTGTATAGCAGAATTCAGTACAAAGACAATGCAAAGTGCTTTACATGATTGAAATATAGGAAAATAAAACAGAATCAAAGCAAGTAGGAAAAAAAAAATAAAACATGCAGAAACAAAAAAGAACATTACATGTACAATCCTTTATTAGACTTTCCTTTTAATTTCTGTATAGAGGTCCTCAAGGTTTTGGACACTAAGTAAGTAAGTAACAACCACAACATCCATATTTCCCAAATAAAGACTAAATATACTTTCCTCCAACCTTTGCTAACAAATAGGCACATATTAAACATCCTTCCTAGTTATAAATTATAGTGGATATATATTTGAAGTTTGAGTTCTGCGGCAAACATCTTTTCCATTGTCATTACTTACCTACTTTTATCAATAATCATTATGCATAAAATTGATATTTACAAGCACTAATATCTACAAAAATTGTTTATTTACTAGGTTTAAAATAGTTATTTATCTATGATTAACTGAAGACTCCTAGATGACTTGCATTTTCTCTTTACCCCATATAAGAAAATCTAGTTCTGAAAAGAGCAGGAATTCTGTATTTATCATCTTTAATGTTAGTATATTGATGTGCATTATTAACCACAGTGTTTTTGTTGTCAAGTCATTGTTAATGTATGAAAAATTAAAATGTTTTGAATATTGAGAGTATTGCTGCTGCCACTGTCTTTATTATAGGGGGAAAAAATGGTAGGGGTGGCCAATGATTGGCTAAGGGTGGCCACCCCTGGCCCCCCATCTAGCTCCCCCCTGCAGATGTGTGCCAAAAATGTGCTCTTATAATTATCAAATGTTTGCTATGTGGCATTGATATGTGGCATTTAGGGTTTTTTTTTTGCAACTGAATTAGCTGTTATAACAGATTATTTATTTTTTAAGTCTTTAATCTACCCTGCTATCCAAGGATGAAATAATCATTTCTATACTGTCATGTATAATTTAAAAAAATAGTTCTAATTAAATATATTATAGAAATCAAAATTATAACTGTCAGAGTTTACAAAAATTTTACTTCAGTATTTCTTAAACCACAAAGATGAACACAGAGATCAATTTATTGTGAATTTGTTTCATTGTATAAGTATACCTATATGTCTAAATATTTACATTTTTAAATTTGACCCCCACTTAAACACAGGTGTCCTCAAGGATCTAAACTTAACCAGTCCTAAATTTATATTTTAAAATATATATGGATATATATTATTTATCAAGTTATTTGGTTTCCTTAAAAGAAGATGACTTTTATATAAACTATATAAACATTTTTTGGCTAAGTAGCAAATTTAACCTGATTTATTTTTTTTCAATACAGGTTTGTGTATCATGACAATTAAGGTTTATTGTCCTTTTGGAAGCCTGTATATGGTTTCAAATAAGAGAATCTGGTAGGCTAGACAAGAGAAAGACTGAGTGGCCACAAAGACAAGTGGAACTGAAAGTAGTGTATTATTTTTTTTAATAATTAAGATGTCAAACTAATGGTTTTATATTGAAGGTCTCATTTCTCTGCAACTTGCCAAGATATATGAACCACATACCACTGAGGGTCTGTCTTTAGTTTCCCTCTTTTATATTAGTTTGACACTGGATAAGGCAATTTAGTCATATATTTACATTTTCTTTTAAAAAAATCTTAATTTTTTTACATTCTTTAAAGTTTTACATTGTAAAATGTATTCAGATTGAAATATAATCATTTTTCCCACAGTGTGGAGGAGTGATAATAAAGTGATAATGACCAGAGGAATAGTTCAAACTGATCAATATAATTTCAAATTAATGTTACACACATGCCGATAATACCGGTAACTGGATGTATATTTTATACAAGGACTTCTGATTATAAATACAATGATAAATGTTTTGCGTTTATTCCACTTTTTTGTTACTTTCCATTTTCACTTTTTGTTTCTTTGTGAGTGTCTGTGGAGGGGTTGAGGCAAATGAGGCATGTTATTTTACTTTGCATGTCTGAATGGACAAAACCCTTTTGGGACATATCTAAGTGAATTATTTGGAGGTACATTTTTTCTTAGCACACTGTTGCTGAAAGATAATTAGATATTAATAACACTATTTTCATAGTACTACAAATAAATTACACATATAATTTTTATGGCTATAAATGGGAAAAGAATTTCTCCTGTAGTTTTCTATTTTTAATACAAAAGTCATTTCGAAACAAACTTTATGTTCTATGGAATATTAGCTTCTAAGGTTGATCATTTCCTCCGCATATTTCAGTTTTCCCCGGTGTTTTACTAAAAAGTGGATTTGAGAAATGTGATTGTTCTTTGTTTAGTAACTGAGAAAAGACACGCATCATTGTGTTTGTATGGCATTTAATAGCTTTATGACACAGTTTTGTTATTGAGGATCTGAAATTGATACATCACATAATGTTCAATTAAAATTCAGTGAAGTATGTCGTAACACAAATAAATTTAGACCTTATTTCACATGACAGACTGTTTATGAAGCCCAACAAAACATAACACAGAGTTCTCAAAAGTTGCAGCAGACAATCATTTAGCCAAGAATGAAAGGAAATACATTTGTTCCTGGGTATTATATGTAAACATAGAAGTTATCTCAACAAATGTACTTATTAACAAAACATAAAACATATCAAAAATAATTTACTTTTTGACAACTGGGTGAAATAAAAAGCACGTTTCTGTGTGTATATTTGTGGGACGGACAATAAAAACAACCTTTTCCATCACTTTCATTCACCAACCCTCAGCAGAGAGAGCTGATCTCACTTTTGCTGCAGCCCCACTTGCAGCAGGCGTTGGACAGACCCACCACCACATCCCGGCCTTTTCGGTCAGCTTTGCGAAGAGCCTCCAGTATCTCGTCGGTGATAAATGAGCGGGTGGTCCTGCTGAACGCTCCATCGGGGTTGGTTCTGGGCATGAAGCTGAGGTCTTTGCTTCTTTGAAGGAGGCTTTCGATTGCAAAGTCAGAGGTCAAGCCTTCTGAAGATTCATCCTGATGGGAGGTGAATGGGTCTTCTGAAACATCTGGTGGACGGAGCAACATGGCTTATTCATTATGTTTACTGTCTTTAAAGAAGCGACAGAGATGATATGATAGTAGGAGGACCTGGACTATGAAATGCACTTCTTGCTCTCTAGAAGTAACTGTCTATCAAATGGTTCAAAAAAGGAGATTATTCATTGATATGGAATTGACTCCAACTATACTATATAAAGTATACAACTATAGTTAAAGTCAAGTTACCCAGATATGAAAGAAGATGCAGACATCAGGAAATAGGGAAAAGCAAGAATTTGCCAGCTTCTCCAGTCTTACCTTGACTTCTAAGTGACCGTTTCCAGCGTGAACCTCCACAAGTGAAGATGACTGCTCGGATAAACTCTCGGCCACAGAGCTTTACTCCATATGTTGGATCCTCCATGGGCTGAGCACCAACCCCAGCCGCGAGCAGACATACAGCCATTACCACTGCTTTCCACATTGTACCTCAAATAAATAAATTGAGACAGAAAAAAAATATATTTTCCTTTTTTTTGTTACTTCTTGTGTCTCAGTTTGCTTGAGTTGTGGCTCTGCAGGTGATCCAGGTGTGGCTTATAAAGGAGTTTGTTGCCATGCATTTCAGAGGGGATGGCACTACGCATGCAGGCCTTCTCCAACAGAGGAAGAGATCTGAAATAGTGATATACAGGAAGACCTTTATGGAAACAAAAGGTGGACCAAAGGTGGCATAATCAACAAACCTGTGTGAAGTCTTTGTGATACAATTGTGTTTCAGCATGTGTTGTAAATTCATCACATTCACCATCCCTTAGTGTGATGCTGCATCAAATCTAACTAAATTTTACCTCATGAATATCATAGTTGTTATCAATTAAACCAATACCTTACTCATCAGAGGACATTCTGATATGAAAGAATGCAGAAATGCACCCTTTCATAGCAGGGATCCTTCTAGAGAGATTTTTTAAAAGGATGGCCAGTAGGTGTCCTTTAACAATCTATGGGTTCCGGTCAAAATTGTATCATATTAAACTTCATAAGGGGCTATATCAAGACATTAACCTTGGCATTGAAAGGTTGTAGTGTACCATAAAGGTCCTATGCTCTTCTAAAATGTGTTCTGCAAATGTAATAGTCTTGAGATATATTTCTTTCGGTAATAGAGGCAAATTTCTAACTCACTGGTTAACATACAGTTTAGTTCCTGAAGAAAATGCGTTAAATACATCATATTTCAATTCTTCACCAGATACTCCAACTTCCTGCCATAGTCCAAAAGCAAGTTAATGTATGTCTCTTTGTTGTCCTGTGATAGACTGGCGATCAGTTCAGGGCGTACCCACCTCTCAACTAGTAACCGGAGGAGATGGACAACAGCCACTTTCTTCCATGCATGGATAGAATGCATTGGTGTAAAAAGGGAATACATAAATACATGTCTAGATTACAGACATTACCTTCTAAACAACTGTTTATTCAACATCAGACTATCTGACTATAATTATCCATATGATATCTGATATTATTCTAACTTTGCCGTTTTTGGATTTTCATGGAACCCAATATTACTTTTTGAATGTTATGTTTTCAAATTAAAAATGACCTTTTAAGTTAGCCCTCTGCCAAAAGGTGAACAGGAAGGACAGAGAAAGGACGGCTGACATTTTCAGACTCAGATAACATTGAAGTCGTGCCATGAGTCAGAAAACTATAAAATACATTTTTTATCTATTCCTACACAGTCAAAGGTCAATCGTTTAGGAAATTACAATATAAATGGTGAGTTTTTAATTAATGAAAGAATAAGATACAAGCTAAATGGCATTTTGGCAGGGCATCCCCCCTGACACTCATTAACAGATCACCATGGCTCCTGAAGCGGTACTGTTAGAATATAATTGATTCATTAATGAGTCCATTTTAATGGCATTTTGAACACCCTACTAATTAGGTATCCTACACTGGAAGTATTATGCCTTTTTTTTTTATATATATATATATATATGTTGAGATATAATATGTTACAAAAAGAAATCAATTGCTTATGTTTTGTGTCGTATTTCCTTTTAAGTGTGCGTGACAAATTCTAATCTTCCTGAGCTTAAGTCAAGAAATCATAGCAGACTGTTTTTCTTCAAAAACTTAATTGTTGATTGAAGGACATTAAAAAATACAAACAAAAAGGAAATATCCAGTATTTCTCCTTTAAGGAAGCATAACAGTTATAAAGCATATGCCATTTTAAGCATGTTTAAATACTATTTTAAAGCTTTTATATTTTGAATTCATCATCATTCATTACATTAAAAATGTTTTCTAAACTTTAAATAATATAATTTCATAACAAAATAATTGATTGTTTAACGTGGTGAGAAAGTGAGATTTGTTCAATTGTTTGTTAAAATTAGACTTTGTTCAAAACAGAAACCTGGAGAAACAATACAGGAAGTGAGAATTGAAAAAACTAAATTCTAGACAAATACAACCAGTCAGTGTTAGATAAATGAAACCTGTTTGTGTTGTTTCTAATTCAGCGAGCTTACTCATTGAATTAGAAAACATTTGCATTCACATCTACAAAGATAAACATTACCATATTTGCATTATTTTAGAGTTCTCCCATTACTCTCAGTCTGCATCCTTGACAGCTGACTGTAGAGCAGGAAGTCTTGGTGAATGATTAAGGGAATCAATAAAAAAATAACTATTTTTGTTAATATAATTTCAGGCATATTACTTCAGCTCTCATACAGTTAAACTAAAGATAAGATTTCATAGAGAAGAACAATCCTTTATTAGACTTTCCTTTTAATTTAGCAGTGGCAGCTTATTTAGATTTCTGCATAGAGGTCCTCAAGGTTTTGGACACTAAGTAAGAGTCTCTCTTCCTGCGTACAGCTATGTGTGTGTGTGTGTGTGTGTGTATGTATGTATATATATATATATATATATATATATATATATATATATATATATATATATATATATATATATATATATATATATATATATAGCTGAATTTTGCCCAAATTTGGGGTTTTGCCATCAAGGATATCCATTTTACTCATGCATTTCTTTCTACTACATTGTTCCTTCCTATCTACTTTTCATTTTGTGTGCTAAAACATAAAAATAATATGACATTTTTAAAATAGAAAACTTCACACTATTTAATTATTCACGAAAGACTTTAATCTCACTTCTCATGAAATGACACTAATCATTGAAACTATCTCAAATAAAAGCTTTAAAAATATGTATGTAGATGTATTATTTTTATTTTGTTATTTATTTGAATCGATTCATCTGTCTTATTGGAACCTGCTCACTAAAAAAAAGATATCTTAATAATGATAATTTGGGCGTGGGGTGCTTTGTGAAATTTTATTCTTCTTTTTTTGCAGCTGCTGTGACTTTAACAACATTTGGTTGGCTTCAGCCAATCAGCGTGCAGAAGGGGGAGGAGAGGCAGCGGGTGGGTAGCAACAGTTGCCCTGGTGAGGACGAAGCGCCATAGCCACGGTAGCCCTGGCGACAAGAACCCAGCAACGAGAATCAACAACAACAACTGAATCCACCATAAAAATAAAAAGAAGATATTTCACTTTCGGGGGCAAACGTACGTGGAATCGGACGTGAAGTTCTAGGTAAATTAAAACATTTTTTTCCCTCTGGGGTTCAATCTGAATTGTGCGTTTGCCTTTTCCTTGTTGTTACAGAAGCCATAACGGGAGTCTCTTAGCGAGGTTAGCCTAAAGCTAGCCGTTGGCCGAGTAACGAGTTAACCGCGGCGGTTAGTGTGTACATCTCCCTCGAATGACACGGATTCTTGCTTGCCATGACGGCGCAGCTACAGATGCATAGTCAAGCGGGCCGTTGTTATGGCGATGTCAAATGCAAAAGGTACAAAATGGCGGTTGTTGTAGAGACCAGTTAGCCTGCTGCTCCAGTTACCCTGCTAGAAAGCTGTCACGACAGGATTTTGTTCCGTTTACAGCTTTGATATATCTTATCAAATAACCAGAAATAAAGCCTGTCTGTATATATTGCGGGGTATGTTGTCCACGAGGCGGTATGTTGAAACCTCATCATGTCACACAACATATTGGTTTAATAACGTGTACAGGCCAATAGGGAGATTAAATGAGAGTGGTATATAAATCTAATGACTGAATTCTGTTTATGCTGGCGCCTGGGCTCGGAAAGCGTTGGAATGAGATATGAGTGAAATTTGAGACAGCAGGTGGCAGACGTTTAACGTGTGAGGGGCGTGGCTAAGGAGGGCGTTATGCAGGTGTTTAGCTCGGAGGTCTTCAATAGGGGGTCCGTGACCCCTAGGGGGTCCACGGAGGTACTGCATGGGGGTCGGGGAAGTTTTGGTTGATAAGATTTTTTATTTTATTTTTATTACCCCCTTGCAATTTTTTTCCACTAATTGAAATGTCTTTAAAAACACATTAACATGAATTCAACACACTGTAGTAAACAGATAAATGGAGGCAGAAGATGTCTTTCAGTCATCAATGCACACATTCAGCGACACACAGGGGCTCTTTCAAGCTGGGCACCGTTTCATTCACAACACCTGTCCCATCAACCAGGATTCAGAAATACTTTCATTACATGATTCCATCTGTAATAGAGTGACTATAGGACCAGTTTAATATAACACAATTTCATACAATATATATAATTATGGGGTCCCCGCTCCATCTCGCCATCAGTTTGGGGGTCCTTGGCCTGGAAAATGTTGAAGACCCCTGATTTAGCTTATAGGAATGCACTGTATTCCTTTATTAACAGTTAATGACCAGACTCAAGTCGAACCAGGTTGCCTTTTAGATCTAAACCTTTAACCTGAAGATATTGCGTTTTTTATGGTTAGATAACCATAAACCCCATCTCAGACTCAGAGGCATCGTTCTGGAAAGATTGATCGACATTTAAGAGCAAAAGTAGTTTAAAATCCTACCTATATTTCGCCTATTGCTATATGAATATTCCTATTATGAATAATGGGTAAAATGATTAGTTTTGTCATTTCAACTACCTCTAACTATGGCTGCTCTAAGTATATTTTTTAAATACTGCATATAGGAGTATTATTTTTCCCCTCTTACAATAGTGACTACAGCATTATGGTGTGTATTCTGCAACATGTGGGCTATTTGTAAGGGTTTGTTTCTTTCTGCTGTCTTCATCTAAGACAGAGAATAATACAACTAACAGTAGAATTTACTAAGCTTTTAGAAATAGTCAAAAAGATATATTTTACCAATAAGATCTGATAGTTGTTAGTGATCAATGGTTCTCAGATGTTAAAGCTGCTGTGGGAATCATTTTCAATTTTTCTCTCTTCAATCTACACTGACTGTATGTTCTGGTAAATTCATGGTGTTATTTTTAAAGCTATTCTGACAGACAAAAAGCTCCAGACAATTTATATCATTGGTCATGAATATATATGTATTTTTAGATGCCTGTTAGATTGTGCTTTTTCTAGTGTGAACATAAAACAGGAATTAGATTTGCTTATGTGGGTTTTTATGGGCTGTTTCTATCCAAACAGGGTATAAAAAACAAAATTATAAATAAACTAAACCATGTACTTAACATGTACTAATTCTGGCAGTTTGTTTATACCTAATTTTACATATTGATGAAGTTCCTGTAAGTTAACTACACTTTCACGCCTGATCTTTATTTATCATAGTTGAAGTTGGGGCTTTACGTGGACTTTTCAGGAAGTTTAACGTCATCCTTTATATAATAGTTTCAATCTCTTTTGTGGTCATTGAACTTTGGTAAATGAATAAGCAAGCCAAAAGCCAACAAAGTCATACATGAACTGGAAGCTTAGTTTCACTATCCATGAAGAGTTTGGGTAAACCTTGCTCTGTAGGTTGGAGAAAAGTAAAGTTTTATATCAATGCTATTGTTTGTGTTTACTCCACTGCAACCCTTGGTAAATGCTGATAGATCAATGTTACTTGGCAATGTAAGGAGATGCAATAATCTTGATCACAGTCGATGGGATGCGGTGACAGAAATCGTGAAAGCAGGATGATTTGACAATAAGAGAATGTAGCAAGGTGTTTTCCCAGCTTATGTAACATGCAAAACTGAATGAAAGCCATTACATAGAGAGATCAGGTTACAGGTAATGATACACCAAACTGCTTATTCCCAACCTTGTTCCTCCCTCTCATTTGTTTAGTAGCTGCTCCTGGAACAGGTCAGCTACTGCAGTACTATCAGGCCTGTCTCATTCATTTGCGTTTTGTAAACAAATAAGAATGTAGAGCTAACCCTGATTCCCCAACATGTGAAAAAGTAGATAAATAATCCTACAGGTTAGATGGATATTGTAAAGGTATTATCATATTTGTGTTTTACTCAGCTTCACAGTTATTCTAAATGTAATAATTAACCAGCAACGGATATGTTTTTTGTTGCTTTGTTTTGCTTTAGGGTGATTGCCAGCATTTGAGATGGCCACCTCAGCCTATGTAGGGGAGCTGCAATCACCAGCCCAACTCCAGGGGGCTGCTGTGACCGTTACACCAGGTCAGCCTGATTCTGCCTCCAGCCCTGCAACTACTCCTCAGTTTCTGGCAGAGATTCAAACTACTGTGGCTACCCCCACTGTCGTCACGCCCACAGGCCAAACTGCTCCCACCGAACAGGCTTCCTCTGTTGCCTCTCAGAAGCCTGCAGCAGGGAGTCAAACCCAGAGCGCATCACAGACGCAGTACGTGACGGCAGAGATCCAGGGTTCCCCCACGCAGTCTGGAAACGCTCAAAGCACCCCTCAGTACATTGTTGTCACAGTCACAGGTGAAGCATTTAGCATTATTTACTAAAATGACCCCAATGTCATGGGATTGAGGTTAATACAGTCTGTGGACGTGAGCTGCTGTAGTTTAGTTGTTCATTTTGAAAGTGATGTTAACAATATAAAAGCAAATAATGACCTATTTTAGAATTAATTGAATTAATACATGGAATATTTAAATTTAAATATTTCAGTTTTTAAGTTATAGCTAGTCAAAATGCAGAATGATCAGTGCCTCTCACAGTAGTGTGTTTCATTATTTTGGTCCCGATTCTCAGTCACGCCTATCAGGTGATCAGCGTAACTTAAATATAAGACAATTTTATCCGCTCTGGAAGCTGTTGAAAGCCTATGAATGAGAGGGGTTAAAAAATTCTGTATTATTCTTTGTGTTGCTTTGAACATTTTTTTAATTTGGAATTTCCCCCTGAAACACGCAGCAACCAAAACTTAAATGTATATTGAGGTCCTTTTTATGCATTTCATTTGGTATTTGCTGCCCTTTGTATTTAAAAGACAGCAACTCCATCAGTCTTGGAGGTTTGGTTGATTTTACTCCTAAATATGGGTTCTAGGAAAGGTACACTGCTTTCTCTACTTTTAATCGGATGGAGACAACAGTTGAATCAGACAAGAGATAGTAAATATCTACATGACAGGAACACCTCATTCAGGCTGAACATTTCATTATCTGTGTTTCAGAGGGTTCTCTTCACTCAAGTGACAGCGTGTCAGATTCTAGCCCACCTCCAGCTGTTGTGCAGACAGGAGTTCCCACACAGGTTGTTCAGCAAGTGCAGACAGCCCAGCAGGTGAGATATTCTCAGATAGATCTTTTAGTAAGACATAATGAAAAATGCATGCGACAGACAAAGATTCTTGTTAAACTGGATTTTTGGTTTAATTTTTGTTTTGTGTTTTATGTGGATCTTTGTCTCCACAGAGGTCGGTGGTGCAGGCCACTTCTCAAATTGCCAAAACTGAGCCAGACACACAGCTCAGTGTCACCAATCTACAGCCTGTTCACATCACACAAGAAGTAAGTCAAAATAGCGCACCAAAGGTGTAGAAATGTGAGCACAAATAAACCAGACATAACAGCTTTAGCTCAGTTCTTAAGATATAGTGGAGTGCTAACAAATGTTGAATTTCCTCTTTATTTGGCTCAGTATTGGTCAGCTCATTGTCTCTGTGGAACTTTTAGCTTCCTGTTTCAGTGGAAGCCGTCTGGTTAGGCAGAGATAGAACAGTAGACGTGGTGCAGCTTCATCATCAAACAGGAGATCCTCAATATTTGCCCTGCTTGGTGGCTGGAGGCCAGACATGCAGCAGCGGGCTCTGGACTGTTCTTTACCAAGTAGGTTAGGGAAACACAAGGGAAAGGGCTGCGTTCAAACTGAGTGAACATAGCGTGTGAGTGCAAGAAACATGCAGTTTTCATTCAAATGGAAAGTAAGCAGAAGGAATTGAAATCCAAAAAGATGGAGTCGTTGGATTTATTTTACATTTTGTTTTGTGCTCCCCCTTTAGGTCCAGCAGCAGCTAGCTTCAGTGCCGGTGCAGCATGTTTATGCCAACCAAGTGCAGTATGTGGAGGGAGGAGACAGCAGCTACACCACTAGCACCATGTTAGCATCAATCTTTGTTTGATAAACATCCTAAAATGTCAAAAGAGGATTGCGCTCTCTAAAAACATTTTACTGACTCTTTCATTTTCTCCTGTTTAGTCGCTCCAGCAACTTCCCCTACACTGAGACGCCCCTGTACACCCAGAGCACAGCTGCCCAGTATTACGAAGGCCAGCCAACATCGGGCGCTCAGGCCTCATCCCCTGGCACAAGTTTGACAGTCGCCGTGACTGCAGGCACCACAGGGGGTGTGTCCATGTTTGTGGCCCAGCCCACTAGTGCGGCAGGGGGCGGGGCCACTGTAGTGACCGCCGGGGGTACGGCCAACGGGTCAGAGGAAGGGGCGGGCACCAATGGTAGCGCAGCAGGCAGCTATGTGATCCAGGGTGGTTACATGCTGGGCAGTGGCAGCAACAGCAGCAGCAGCAATGGAGGGGCGGCTGGGAACAGCCAGAACTACTCACACAGCGCCCGCGCCTCCCCAGCCACTGTGAGTATTACAGAGGGCGAGGAGAGTAGCGTGCCGTCGGCAGACAAGAAGGTATGCAGAGGCGCCAAGCGCAGGAGTTTCTACTCGTTCCGTTCCCATCCACACAACCCTTCGATGGCGCACACCAATCGATGATGATGTCATAGTGGAGTTATGTCAATGAGAACAATCTGATCACAAATGTGGAAAACTTTCCTCCTCAAAGAAAAACTAAACCATGACCTCATCATTGTCATGTCATTGCAGTGCATGCGATGAGGGGCATTTATAAAGTGCTTGAAATGCCCCAACTCGATACAGCTCATCCCAAATTCATCATACTGATTCCCATATGAAAGGAATATGAACTAAAACATGTTTGGCCGACATCCCATCAGTATTTCAGGTCATTGATTCATTGCATACCAAAGTTGTATGCCACGGCACGCAAACAGATGTATTTGTGTTTTCATTCCTGAATGGATGACCGAGCTGTCAATGTGAATGGATTTATTGTGTCACGATCTAATTATTAAAAAAAATATATAATCTGCATGTATTATTTCTATTTATCATAAAGTAAATAAAAGCTGTATGTTTCTTGCTGGTATTGACTGGTTTTTCTAATCGCACCAGCTGTTTTTCCTTTTCTCTTTTCTCTTTTTTTGCATGTGTGTCAGGTACAGTGGTTACTGGACAACTATGAGACGGCTGAAGGAGTAAGTCTGCCTCGGTCCACTCTGTACTGCCACTACCTGCTGCACTGCCAGGAGCAGAAACTCGAACCAGTCAACGCCGCTTCTTTTGGGAAACTCATTCGTTCTGTGTTCATGGGGCTACGCACACGTCGCCTGGGCACCCGGTAAGACAGCCAAGAACCCAGACTCTGCTATGGAGAGGATGCACTGCGAAACATCAGTATATATTAGGGATGGACCGGTTTTTGAAAACCGTCCGAACCGTTCGGTTCGACTGTCTCGGTTCGATTCGCGTGTGTTTCGTTCGGTTCATGCACGACCAAAGCCAACCACCAGTAGTAAACAAGAAGAAGAAGAAGCGAAGCAGCATAGCCAAGTGTAGCAGAAAAAAAATCAGTTGTTGTGGAGAATTGTGTGGGTATGGCGAGTGGGAAAGAACAGGAGTTGGAAGACGCGCCAGCAGCACTTTATAGGTCTGCTGTATGGGACCACTTTGCATTTAGAGTGACCTACGATGAAGGCGGAAAGAAAGCTGTGGATAAAAGTGCAACCGTGTGCAAGCATTGCGCAACACGTTTTGTTTATGCTAACAGCAACATGACCAACATGTCATGCTAATCCCGAAATCCCACATACTCCGTCAGCACTCCACTGCGCACCGCCCCGCTGCGCTCCAGACCGCCTGCACAAAGCAAAGCATACAGCCTCTGCTGTGGCTCCCGTCCGCTCCGCTCTGAGTTCCTTGTGGATCGTAGAGGGCATGTGCGAGATGATTAAATCAAAGCAGCAAAACCTGCGGAAATGATCCATGGTTTCTGCAAATCATAAAAAATAATTACAATTCATTAATTTTTTTGGATTTTTTCATTAATTTCATAAAAAAATTTTCATTAATTTTTATTATTTTTTATTATTTTTTTTATTTTTCGGTCTAACAACAAACCTATACCGAACCGAAAACCGTGACCACGAAACCGTGAACCGAACCGAACCGTGGATTTTGTGAACCGTTCCACCCCTAGTATATATAGAGCTTATTTTTCTGTATAGGCTTTATAGGTGTTTTTAAAAACTTTAGAGAACAAACAGCTCGATGTTGACTCAGAAATACACAGGATCAGGGCTAATATGTAATATGTTAAAGCTACAGTGTGTAATTTTTAGCGACATCTAACGTTCAGACTGCAGACCGCAGCAACATGAACATCTCCCCCCCACCGCTTCTCCCCCCCAACAGTACGGCGAGCGTTACGGGACAAAATGTCTTCCACGACGTCCGCATCACCTACCTTCTCAAGTGATGAGGTTTGTTTACATAGATAATTTTAATACTGCCATCTATTTTTCAGTACCGTCTCAGTTCATCTCTCTCAACTTGCCGTAGTTACTTTCGAGCGTAATGGGCGATCTCGCAATCGCTAGTTTGTTGGCTCTGCGCTGCCATAGCGCAAAGATGTCTGCCTCCATGGCTGCGAGACCCGCTCCTATGTAATTATAAACAACGAATTCTAAGGCAACGCAAATATTAAGGTTAAGAGGCTGAGCTCGTAGATGATGATAAATCACATAGTTATGTATAATATATTACATTTCTGACTGTATATCCCTGTAATTATTACACACTGTAGCTTTAAAGCAGAATGAGGTTAATAATCATTGTAAAAATCTCATTAAGCACAGTTCAATGTGCTATCTAAAAAGAAAAGATTATTACTGCAACTGTACAGACATGTCTGTCTACAGTCTTCAGGAGCACCATGATGGTAGATCTGCAGATCCGCTCAAGGAATAGATCAACTGAGTAATTCCCCAAATCTGGCCATCATTTAATAGAGGAAAAAATATTACATTTATTTAAAAGCTATTTAAAGGTTCACTTGGAGTTTAGCAAACACACAAAAGGGCTCTGTTCAGATGAGACCTAAGGTGAACTCTGTGGCCTACTTGCGTAACGCCATGCATGGCCTCAAATTGCCAATCATCCTGACCACACTGTGGCGGCAGCCTTAAGCAAAGGGGATGTTTATCTTCAATGGGGAAGATGGCCACACTTAATGGGGAGAACGAAGGAGCTAAATGCAGCTCTGTCCTGAAGGAAAGACTGTTAGAGGCTGTTAAATATTTGAAACCTTGGTGTTAGTACTCCTACCAGAACAAAATCCCTAAACATAGCCAGGGATGGGAGGACAAAGTTTAGAGAGAAGCGTGTCTAACCCAGCTGAGTCAAGCTCTGAATTCGATAACTCAACCTGATTAAATTGATAAAATTAGAGCTTTTAAGCCAAAATATTCATCTCTAGATGTTTTTTAAGGTATTGATCATCACACCCCTTCTCTCAACTTTGTCAAGATGAACTTGGTAATGAATGAAGGTAGAGTTTGATAAATGAGAGCAGACTAACACATTTTGCTCCTGTTAGGGGTAATTCCAAATACCATTATTATGGACTGAGAATCAAGGCAGGGTCATCTCTCCTGCGCCTGATGGAAGACCAACAACATTTGGCCATGAGGCAGCAGCCATTCTCTCAGAAACAAAGGTAAGAACATGCATCCTGTTTATCTTTACACTAATGTGATGATGGTTTATTTCAGTCTCTGCCTTTGTTCCTGGCAGGTTGAAGCCTGTGCACAAAGTGGAAGGGATGACCAATGGGACAGCAGCAGGAGCAGGCCAGCAGCAACAGCAGCAGCAGGGATCAGGGCATGTGGACATCAGCACCCAGGTTCAGCAGTACCAGCAGTTCCTGGGTGGGTTCGGTGATGGTTTATGCTACGATGACAGTTATCAGACAATTCCAACGGGTAAACATGGATCCAAATCTGTAAAATCCTGTGCTGGGTCACAGAGTTTATGAGTAGTGTTTTTAAGGCTTGTCTAGATTTTAGGACTTGAAGATGAATTCCACAATCCCCTTCCATTCCACTGTACCTCCATCAACGTTATTTAAAATGCATTTGATGTGATTTGTCTCTGTGGTGGTATCCTGTCTCCAGATGCTTCCCGAGCTCTGCCAGAGTTTCCAGACATCGACCTCCATGGAAAGTCTCTCCCAGAGGGAATTGAACTGGACCACATAAAAAGCTTTCAGCTGCTTTACAGGGAACACTGTGAGGTAACAAAGCTCCTACACCAAATATTTATGAGGCTGGCTTCTCCATGTTGTTTCTTAATGTGATAGTTTAGTTTTTCTACGCCTTTTATTCTTATCCTTATATTGTATAAAAATAAATGTAGTCCTTCTTTGTTGAGATGAAGATGATGTAAAAGAAGCTTAGTAGTGGAATTTTTTCTTCGATTACTCATTTTTTTCTTTTTAAGTACAACTTTCTGGATTCTAGTTTGCTGTTAACCAAATATGGGATCACCTTTAAAGAGTCTGTATGTCTTTTCTCAGGCCATACTGGATGTGATGGTCAATCTGCAGTTTACACTGGTAGAGACTCTGTGGAAAACCTTCTGGAGGTTCAGCCAAAGTCAAGCTGGAGATGCCCCAATGGCTGTGTAAGAGCGAGGACATTATTTCTGATATTGTAGTGGTACCTTTTCCATTCAAACTCGGCTCTCTCACAGGCATGATGAGTCAGAGAAGCGCCTCCCGAAATCCTGCCTGGTGTTGCTGTGTAAGTACGAACCAGTGCTGCGCTGGAGTCGTGACTGTGACAACAGCCTTTACCAGAGCCTGGTGGAGATCCTTATCCCTGACGTCCTCAGACCCATCCCCAGTAAGATTCTGCATTACATAACCACACATAGAGTTACAGATACTGGAAAGTGTACTTTAATATACATGGATCCAAGTTGTTCTGCAAAGATCAGCGTTAGCTTGAAAGCTAATTTTCGCTGCTAGTTTTTTTACACTTTTTTCTGTTTCTAAAGTTTTTGCCTGATTTTCTACAGACGTTTATAGGATGTTTTCCTTTATAGTGTTTCCATGTACTAATCTTTATTTAGCTGCTGAATTAAAAACTTAATAACCATGTTTGCTGCCTACAGGTGCCTTAACTCAAGCCATTCGTAACTTTGCCAAGAGCCTTGAGAGCTGGCTGACTAATGCCATGATGAACATCCCTGAGGAAATGGTCCGCATCAAGGTACCGTTCTCCAATATGGCCTTAAAGCTTGCAAAAAAATAAAAAATCCAGCTGCTTTAATGCCTGGATGGACCGTTATAATATTATTTAGAGCTATAAAAACATTTTCTTCAACCAAATAATTTATGAAAAGTATGAATTAGAGTAAAGATATCATTAAAAGGTTTTTAGTTTGCTTATTTTAGGCACACCTAAAAAGATGCTTTACCAAGATTAAGTACTGATAAAGGTTGTTTGTAGGTTTTATGTCTGATCAGTCCTTTCTGACCCTTCCTTATTCTTAGGTGACATCAGCCAATGCTTTTGCCCAGACGCTGCGCCGCTACACCAGTCTAAACCATCTTGCCCAGGCAGCCCGGGCTGTCCTCCAGAACACAGCTCAGATAAACCAGATGCTCTCTGACCTCAACCGAGTCGACTTTGCAAACGTCCAGGTCGGTTCAGGCTCCACATTTGCCGCCCTGACAGCATCCCACTAGCATGTCTGCAGCCTCCTTTTTGGGGCTTGAGTCTTTGTTTTAGTTCTGTGCAGAGAGCATTTATTTTTGCTGTAGCTTGTGGTTTTGATGAGGTGTGAAGTGAAGCCAGGAAGCCCCTTCTCCATTTCTCAGAAATGATTCTGCAGGTGTTTTACACAGATATGAGGCAGATTTATAACCTGAATTGAAGTTTAGGTTGCATGCCTTTGCACACATATTTCCCTCTTGTTGCCAAAGGAATAATTCAGGAGTTTTAAAGTGAGGTTCTGTTGGAAGATAGATAATATCTTACCTGCAGTAACTGAATCCCTTGATATTTTCAATTTGTAACAATACAGGTTAGTTGTTCCTGATAGATTATTTACACAATAATTAGGGGTAGGGAGCAGTGCACTACCACTTGTTTGTCTTTTTGAAATGTATTCTGAGATTAGAGCATGTAAAATATTACTGGTAAAAGAACCAATCTGAAATAAAAGTCGGTTGGTGTGAGGTCAAACAACTATACTACCTGTGTTGATTGGTGCTTTGGTAAACTTTGATTGTTTTTGCTCTGATATCAGAGAGGTTTTTCTGTCAGGAAATACTCGACACGTTATGTTCTGAGAAAGCGTTTCACACAGGAAGATCGCCTCTATTTCCTGTTTAAATAACCAGCAGCGTCTTTATACAAACACTAGGAAGGCTTAAAGGTTGATTAAAACATGTTTACATCACCTTCTTTCATACTTAAAATGTTTCTTTAAGATGGTAAAAATGTGCGTTAGTCTCAACACCAACACCAATCAGACTTAGCATTAGCTTTTAGGCCTAGCGTTACCTACTTTTACTTACAGTTCACCTTAGAGTTGTATCTATCTCTTTAATGCTCTGTAGGAGCAGGCCTCATGGGTGTGTAGATGTGAAGACCGTGTCGTCCAGCGGCTGGAGCAGGACTTCAAGCTGACCTTGCAGCAGCAGAACTCATTGGAGCAGTGGGCCGTGTGGCTTGATGGGGTGGTCTCCCAGGTCCTGAAACCCTATCAGCACAGTCCAGCCTTTCCAAAGGCTGCAAAACTCTTCCTACTAAAGTGGTCATTTTACAGGTATGATAGCAGACAGCAGAGAGTAGGGCTCTGTTATTTTACAAGTTACACATTTCAGTCAGAATGTGAGTTCTTGTTTTAAATAAATACTTATCATAGGTGCTGTGGCTGGTATGAAATTGAAAAGCTGCTTGAAGCTGAAATAAAAAAAAAGATAAATGTCAGGAGCTTATTTCAATTTTTCTCCAAAACTGAAAGGCAACAGCTTTTCCTCCTGGTGGTAAAACAGTCAGATAATTATTTTTATGAATAGATCCAGTGAGAATAACAGTATCTCTGACATTATTGCTGCAAAATTAGTCATTTTGCTGAGACTTAAGCAAATATATTGAATAAACTTCAGCTAAATTGAACTTGTTTTACAGTTCAGTTTCTCAGAGTAACATAAGCTAATCTTAGCTGATTATTCTTTTTCTTAACAGACATGCTAATATATGCAATAAAAGAGTTATACCATTCCAAACAGATTATTTTCTATGCCTTTTAAGCGAGGGAAGATCAGAGCAACTTTCTAATGGTCAGTTGAACAGCCGTGTGCATTCAGTGATGTGGGCGTGACCCAATCTCATTATGCTCTGCTGCATGCAGATAGATTAAAAAACAACAACTACTGTTAATTTCTTTAGTTCTGCTTTAAAGAGCTTTAAACAAAAAAAACGTATAACGCATCAATTGCACCTCAATATCTTTTCTGTGGTATCATAATTGCAAAAAGAGCTTTAATATTTGGTAGGATATCATATATTTTTAGGTCAATTCTGTGTTCCAGTGATGTATTATGCCTGATCATTGTGCTTTCAATGCCTTCGTTTCCAAAACTGGATGTGCATTTTAGGTGCTGACACACTAAAGCTAGACTGATCTGACTGAGTGTTGGGAACTGTGTGATGAAGGAAAGTAAAGAAAAGAGAAAAATGTGGGTTAAAATCAAATCACTATCAATGTAAATGCAATATTCCACAATAGTATCCCAATGAGACATTTTCCTGATGTCATGCAGCCCCATTTTTAACCAGAAAAGCTTTTTGGGGAAAGATATATGCTTCTTCTAGGCTGTAACTTTTTAAAATGTTTATATAGGATTAAAGCCTTAACTCCTCTTCCTTAAATATCTAAATTCAGTTTCAGCAAACACATTTGGCAAGGTGGATTAAAGTCAGTGGATTTTCTCTTGAAGTGAAGTTTTGAAGTTTTTTAGTAATCTAAATTGGACAGTACATGAAGTAAACATTTCAAGAAGATTTCAATCCTCTATCTGGCTCTTTAACCATTTAAAGTTTAGATTAAAAGATGGTTCTATAAATGGCTCCCAGCCCAGTTGCTGTTATGTAACTACCCGTTTCACTTCTTGTGGTAAGAACTGAGAAAGCTCATGTTTAGATGATGAATTGAGGATATAGAAAATGAGGAATTGCAAAAGGGGTGTGTCACAGTTTAACGTACAGAGAGGTGCTACATCCTGTTTGTGGTAACAGAAAGGAGATCTGCATTGTGGCTAATTGTATTTTCTCTCCCCATTCCTGCCCTCCAGTTCCATGGTCATCAGGGATCTGACCCTGCGAAGTGCGGCCAGTTTTGGCTCCTTTCACTTGATCCGTCTGCTGTACGATGAGTACATGTACTACCTTATAGAGCACAGAGTGGCCCAGGCTAAAGGAGAAACCCCCATTGCTGTTATGGGAGAGGTACTGATCCACAGAATGAATCATTTTAGAGTAAATCAGGTCTGAATACGAATGAGATAAAGAAGATTGTGGACTAATATCTGTAAATTCAATTTTGCAATTTTCTAAAAATAACAAGTTCATTAATGTAATAATTTATCCATCTATATATACATGATTTTTTAACCAAGACATTCATTCTTCTCTCAGTTTATCTTAAATTTTTCCATACTTACATGCATGCTTCTATGGATTCATTAATGAATGAATCATTCTGTTAATTTAATCTATTGTCCACAAGTCATGCATTTTTTGTATTCATAACTTACTTATTGGCTTAAAAATGTTGCTTGAGCTCAAATACCAAAAAGTATTTAATCTTGACACGATAATGTGTAGGAACTATGATGCATGATCTGACAAAAACAATGAATGCCAAAATAGAGGCCATATTTGCTGACTCGTTCCTGTCCTGCTCTCAGTTTGCCAGTTTAGGTCGCGGTTTGAACCAGATGGATCCTGACAAAGGTCTGCATTCGATCTCCCACATTCCCACCAGTAACACCTTTCAAACATCAATAGTTTCTCATTAACATTTGTCATCCACAGAAGAAGACGAGGAAGAAGATGACGAGAGTGAGGAAGAAGGCCAGGAGCTGTCTCTTCCTCCTGATGGGGCGGTTCTTGGAGAGGAGTCTCTGGAACCTCCTGCCAAGTTAGCCAGAACGGATCAGCGAGTCCTCTTCACCACGGGCTCCGCTGACAACTAACCTGCTCCTGTTTGTCACATCCACAGATGTACAAAACCCTCCACTAATTTATACGTTTGATAGCTGTATGTATGTAGATCCAGTCAATGAACACTGTCGCTGCAAACTGTTTTAAGTGGGTGCAATGCTATCCAAACTCTTTTTAACTGCTGCTGCCTGGATGGCAAAACCACTTGTAGAGTTACACGACATTCACAGCTGCAACAGGATGTGTGGCTTTAAAAACCATAATCCTGATGCACAGAGAATCACAGAATAACTTTTGTGTGAATCTGTAAAAAAAAAAAATAATAAGAACCTAAAACTAGGCATGTTTTATTTAAATCACATCAACCTGTTGCCTAGTTAAAACCCCTGCTCTCCCCTCCAACCTGAACCCATCACTGCCATACGTAGGTGGTCTTTAAATGCTGCAATCTTTGTGTGTAGAGGAGAGCAGCAGAGTTCAAACAGTGGGCGCTAAATGTGGTTGTTACTTATCTGTGAAGAGCTACGATATTAAAAAAAACTGATCTGAGAGCTGTAAAAAAAAACAAAGCAGAACAAAAACAGCAGGTTGGGGTGGCTTTGTTTAGTGTGCTTTTGTTTTCTGTCAGCACCATTAAGCTGTTGTTTCTGAAAGCTGACCCGTTTATTTTTTCCCTTGGTTGTGTGTGATTGTAAGTAATGGGAAGTGTTTCTGTAGATATTTTCTTACACATTTGGGAGGATTTGATTCTATCAGCCTGTAAAGAAAACATACATGTGTTTATTGGGTGCCTCCTTTCAGCTGCTACACACTTGTAAAGTCAGAAGCTACAGCTGTTTTATAGGGACTCCTACTATAGTTTCACAACAGGTGTACTGTATGCGTGACATTTTGTTCAAAGTGCTTTAATCCTGCCTAATAAGTTCCTCTGTGGCCTCATTTCCTTTGAGATGTTATTTTCTTGCCTTGTTCATTAGTTTTCCTCATTTTTGTGCCAAACCTTTTTCTTTCTTTGTGGCTACTTTTTTTTTCCTTTTTTTTTTATTTTTCTGGGTTTGTTTTTAGGAGGACTGTGCCTGAGTAAGAACATTGAAATATCCTACTGTATATTTATCCACTATCTCTGAATTCTGTTGTCACTAAGTGAACCTCTCGTGCCGTGTGTGGTGCTGTGTTGTCTCACATTGTAAGCAGCATTTTTGTGTGCTTTATTGATTTGTGATTGTATGTTGAGTTATCAAACCCTCGATTATATCTGATGACTTTACCACAGACAGGCTCTCTTTGCACATATTGACTGTTGTCTTTAAAAAAGTGATACAAAGCTAGTTTTTTTTGTTTTCACCTTCATCCTTGAAGTCTTAAGTGTATTTCTAGTGGTGAGATGTAGGCATCAGATCGCATGTTAATATTTCAGATCGCTCAGTTCAGAGACTTTGGAGGTGAGAAGTCTGAAAGCTTTTCTTCTTTTCCTGCACGGCCTGCACCGCCGTGTCTCATCTCACTGCATTTCAGCCATCCTGCCATTGGCTTTGTTTTGCTTCAACCCTCCATATTCTTAAACACTGTTCATCAGAATTGGTTGACGTAAACATTTCATCTATTTTTTTTTCTGGAATATTTTAGTGCTCTGTCTTTAAATGGCTGCAGTGCACAGGGATTGACAGCTTTCAAACCAGCACATTAGCTTTTAAAATGGAATCTAATGCTACTACAGCTGAGAACATATCACTCCAGGCTTTCTATGATCGACACCATTCAGAGTGGTTCAACCAGTGAAACTGTTTAGTCATTTTTATAGTGCGTTGTTTCTTATGTACAAAACAAATTGAAGTTAATAAAATAAGATGTTCGGTGGCAGTGTTTTTTGAATTTGGTCCGCTATAAGTATGACTGTGCCTTTGGAGGTGGTAGAATGCAAATCAGATGTTTCTAATTTTAAAGATATAAATTAAAGGACTTTTTAAAATGAAACCTGCTTCTTTTGGAGATTTATTTTCTCAAAGTTAAACAGATTGAACTTATTTGAGTCAGCTTTTATAATCCTACAAAAAAATCGGGGGTAGCTGGGAAACCATAACAGTTCTATTAGATAAACAGCAATATAGTATCATTAAAGAGGGCCAGAGATAGTCTACAATAAATGTATGCTGATGAGCAAAATAATCTTCCTTTTAAGCATGAATCATCAATAGCAGGCTTATATTTCATTTCTGCCTAAAGAAATTATCTGAACTATTTGTTTTTTCTTGTTTTTTATTGAAATTTACCTGACATTAAGAAATATACCTTTACTGCTAACTGGGATTTGTTGAAAGTGCTATTACTGCAAGAAACAACAAAGAAAACACAATGACTATAAGCACAGCAAATCCGTTTGAAGACGTTTCCTTTTGGCACATACATATACAGTATATTCATTTGTGCATTTGAGGTTTTTTTTCGTTCCAAAGGTTTATTTTAGCTTCTTGTATTGAATGCTTTGAAACTGAAAGTATATAAATTGTTTTCATCTTTTAATCTGATTGACCCAAAGATGCCCATCTGCTGCAGTTCTGTAACAGTGAACTTTTAGATAGTTTTTGTAATTAGTGACAACAGTCCACTCTGCCTTCTGGCAAAAGAAACATAGGCCCTTATCAATTGTCAGTGGCAGTTTTTATTATGGAAAACATTGCCATGCAGTACAGCCTTAACAATGTTTTATAATGTTTTAAACTTATAACAAGTTGAAAGAAACTGGAACTTTACTTCTTGGGGTTTTTTGGTTCTGTTTATTTGAGAGGAATGTTAGTTATAATTGAGTCATTAGAGGTAAAACTAAGAATAAAAACTGGATTTTTCTTTTTTTTATGGCAGAGATCATGCTACTGCAATAGAATGTGTTTTAGGGTTCTTCTTTTTTATTGCTGGTTCCAATAAAAGACATAATAAAGAGAAGCATAAAATAACTTCATGGACTTGTAAAAAAAGATGCATGAACTGTAGAATATCACAGTGATTCTGAAGCTAGACTATATAATGAATATTTTCAGATTGGTTAATCTGCAAACTAACAGCGGCATCTAGTGGTACACAACGTGAGTTAGACTGTGTGCTGTTCTGTATTTCTGACATCCAGAAGCATTGATGCATCAGTAAGGGCACACTTTAGATGATTTCTTCAGGTTTTTATTTACAATAATAATGCACCAAAAGTAAGACTCACTGTGTGACTCTGAACTCCAAAAATGGTTTAATGAATAAATTCAGTAGTTTTTTAAAGTTGGAATGAGACATTTTATGATTCACAACCTTGTTTGGCAATCATCACAAAAATGAACCCATGAACCAAAAAGTGTAAGGTGAAAAGTCCCACTCCTTGAAATCTTTAAAGATTAAGCAACACCCCAAATAAACAAATACACAGCAGCAGATTACCATCAACATATACACTGACATGTATACATCTTTTGGTACAGATGGAAACCCATATGATCCCAGTCGACTAATTTTTGCATGCTCATTCCACCAGAGCAAAACATCCAAAGCATCCTCCTTGGTGTCTTCAATTCAGTATTGGCTGCAGCAATGCATCATAACAAAAAAAAGTTTTATTATCCGGTCAAACTTGAATCAATTCGCTCATTACGATATAGAGTTGATGAATAATTAAAATATCAATAACTTTCATTCATGTCAACTATTTATGTCCTGCCTACCCCCATATGGTTATTTGTACTTATACCTGGACCAGTGAAATAACCCTTAGGCATTCAAAATAGACTATGTCTTTAGGTTTTTATTTACAATAATAATGCACCGAAAGTAAGACTCACAGTTTTATTCAATATAATAAAGTTTAGATACCCATCTATGTTAGGGTTTCTGGGGTTTTTCTGGTTTGAGTGATCTTCTGTTACAGAGAGGATCCATGCTGGTGGCAGGGCTGACCTGTGTTACTGCAAACCTGAGAGCATTTCTCAGTCAAATGACTGGCGTGTAAATAACGAGGTGAAGGATCAGCTCTCTTCACTGGATGATTACACCTGATGGTATTTCAGTCAAACCATTGGTATGGATGGTATTCCATACCTAAACCATTAATATACTTCTTTTTCAAAGAAGTGCCTCCAGTGCCTCTGAGGAGCTGTTTAAATGTTTTCTTCTGGAATTAATGTTTTCTTTTTTTTCCAGTATATTATTTTGCATTTGTTACAGATAAAGATGCTTGTTTCTAAAGACAAAACTTATTAAATAAACTTTCTTCTGCAGTTCTTTGGCCCTAATGAGAGTTCCTGGGTTTAATCACTGAAGGACTTGGGAGCATTTTCAAAGCATCATCCTTATTTTCTTGTGGGGGGGTAACTCATTTTTGGAAGATTTTCATCAACTGGAGAACTTTAATCAAGGTTTTCTACAGACGTGTCTGAGGAACAAAGGTTGCCACTCCAAGAGCTGATCTCAGACTCCCTCACTTTTTTAGTCAGCCATTCAGCAACACGGCCATGGCCTTGTTGAATCTTAAACTCCGAAATGCTCCCATATTCTGAGGTCTCATCTCCACTCACTGAAACAGATAATGAGAAGGATCATATTAAATAACAATAAATCGAGCCAAGAGTTTGTGGTAAATCAGTAGTTAATTCTTCAAACTTACAGTCGGGAATGAAAAACTCATTCATGCTATGTGCCACCTCTACCGAGGGCACCGTTGGTTCCTCTGGTTCATTTGATAAAGCTTTCATCACTTTCCCAATTAGCTCCTCCTCCCTCTTATTCCACTCCTCCTTTATGAATTGCTGTTGTTTATCTGTCCAAGGGCGTTTCTGTTTTTTCTTTTGTTTGACTTTAGTTGTGAAGAATCCTTTGTTTTGTTTTACCAAGTCAATAATTTTTTGGAACAGCTCAGTGACTTGAGCAGCATTATCAGAACGATTAGGATTTCTTACATGGTATCTGTTCCCACATTTCTCCAGAAGTTCTTGTAGGACCTTTCCCTCTCTGACGATGTAGTTCTCTACAGGGAAGTCACTGAGCCAGTCTCCCCAGGTAAACAGCACCATGCAGTGTCTCCACACTCTCTCTTTTAATGGCTTCAAGACCTCAACCAGAGCTTTGAGATCTTTCTCTGTGAAAGATCTGAAGATCGGAACAACCAGGAGAAAAACATGAGGTCCAGGAAAGCACATGGAGACACCTTCGAGAAGCTCCTTCTTGATCCAGTCAGGTGGTGATGAGTCTGAGAACCAGCCTGGTGTTTCTACAACTGAGACTTTTACTCCATTAAAGTCTCCCTCGTGTTTCACACATGTTGCATGGGGGAGGTTCTAAAAAAGACAGAAAATAAAACTGTGACCTGCTTCAAAGAACTAATGAGTCCCAATTCCCATAATGGATAAAGTTAGTTCTGAACTGGGAGCAGATTTACTTACCCTTTTTGACTGAGCTGTATTAAAAGCTGTTCCAAATACCCTTTTAAAAAGGATTGTGTCTCCTGTCATTCCCTTTCCTGAGCACTTCTGGCCAAGAAGAACAATTCTGATGTCAGAGAGTGGCAGAGGCTGACCTGCAAAATAGGGTAAAATGTATGTTTTTGAACATGATAACATTAAATGGATTCAATATAAGAAAATACAAAAATTAGACTTTACCTCCTATCAGTTCTTTCAGGACTCTTGACTTTCTCTCGTTAATCTTCTTCAGCCTAATGCCCATCTTGTCTCCAGCCTCTTTCTCAGCTTCTATCTGTTCTGCTTGGTTCAGGTCCACTTCATAACAAGGATCTTCATTCCCTGCCCACATCTCTTCAATCTTCTCAATGAGCTCATTTACTTGAATCCTATTACTTTCATCCATGTTATTCAGGGCATGATACCTGTTCCCACACATGTTCACTATCCACTGCAGACCTTCCTCACTCTCTATTCGCTCCTCCACAGTCTTCCCCCCTAACCAGTCACCCACAGTAAACAGAACTAGTGTGTGTTTCCAGATGTCTTTTCTAAACAGAGTCATGTGTTCCTGGACAGCTGTCAGATATGATGCATGGATTGCTGCTGTTAGAGGAATAACCAGCAGCACAGCATGTGGTCCTGGAGCACAGAGATACACACTCCTTTCAATTTCTAGTTTATCTATCTCACTGGTTTCCTGAAGGGTATGGATGTAGAACCATCCAGGAGAATCTACCACTGTGAGTTCCCGTCCATTAACCAGACGTTTGCATGTCTTACTGTGTGTAGTTCTGCCATCTACATTATACTTTGCACTGAATACTTTTCCTCCCAGAATGGTATTACCAGCTGAACTTTTCGCTGTCCCCTGTGCACCGATTAACAGCAGCTTTAAATGCTCCGGTGGCTTTTTTCCACCTGGAGAAAAAAACAAAAGTGAACAATAATATAAAAGTATAAGTATTTTTATGTAAGAGACAATAGAACATTTTTTTAAAGACCATTATTGAATGGTTCATAGAACACACAAATTATTTTTTTGCAAAACATCTTGCAGAATCAGTCAGACTCTAAACAGTAAGCAAGACCAAACCTCCACAGTAGGATTAACTCCAACATAGATAAAGTGAGATTAAAGAAATAAATAACTTGTTAAACAAGTTAACTATTTTTGATATATATTTGTGAGTAAGATAAATTGGATACATCTAAATAATGAAATGTTTTTCTACATATAGCTTAGGCTTATTTAGAATGAGTGATATATTGTTGTTGTTTTTGTTGTTGATAGAGGCTTGGGGGTTTTCTATTTATGTCATCCAATCCCAGCATCAGAGGCCTGCATAGTTTTCTTCAAGGACAGGATTCTTTACACAGTCCAAAAGTATCACTGTTCAAGGTAATTAGTCCCTTTTCAATTGCACCTAATTATGAAGGCATGTGTGCAAACTTGTTTGTCCTACTTGTCTAAATTCTAACATCCCAGTGACTGCTGTAGATAGATCAAATCCTCTAGTGACCATTTAGTTTATTTGTATAAAGAATACTTATCCAAGAATATGAGGGAAAATATTGATTGAAAAGCTTACAAGAGTAAAAAAAATAAATAAAAAAATAAAAATTGCACAAGCAGGGCAGAATAATGCTACAGCCTCAGTTTTTAGTTTTGTTTTTTAAGCATCTTGTGTTAGAAGAAAATTAGTCAATTGAGTTGACTGAGTACAAATTATTCAACTAAATGAACTTATGCAAATATACAAACAAGTAGGGTGGCAAAGTTGGGCTTCCCAGTGGCGCAGTGGGTAGCACTGCCGCCTTACAGCGGCCCGGGGTCTTTCTGCATGGAGTTTGCATGTTCTCCCTGAGCATGCATGGGTTCTCTCCAGGTACCCCACTTCCTTCCACAGTCCAAAAACATGACTGTTAGGTTACCTGGCTTCTCTAAGTTGTCCTTGAGTGTGAGTGTATGTGTGAATGGTTGTTTGTCCTGTTTGTCTCTGTGTTGCCCTGCAATAGACTGGTGACCTATCCAGGGTGTACCCCGCCTCTCGCCCATAGAATTAGTAAGTGCGCATGACCCATGTACAGAGGCCTCAGTCCTCGATGCAGGTGACCCGGGTTTGAATCCGGCCTGTGGTCCTTTGCCACATGTCTCTCCCCCTCTCTCATACCCCCTTTCTTGTCAGCCTACTGTAAGAAAAACGAGCCACTAGTGCCTTTAAAAAAAAAGATTCACAGCTTTTACTTCATAGTTGCTTTTAAAACACTGAAGGGCAAATCCTCAAAGGATCCAAAATAAAGAGCACTGAACTTCCCTGTAAAAATAGATTCCATGTGTATTATGTTGCAGCTGATCTACAAAGGTTGCATAGCTGAAAACAAGGATAGGTCATGCAAACCGGTTCGGTTTGTCTTTTTAAATACGTAAATTGCGTGACTACTTGGAGTTTGAGTTTATGCTACGTATTTTATAAATAATGGTTAGAATGATGAACAAATTTAATTTCAAACTTTACATTTCAAAGTGCTACAAACAAAAGTTAATAATATTTAAAAGAATAAATATAAATTAAAATTGAAAACTTTCTCTGCTCCACCCTTTTTGACCCTCATCTGATAGAGAAGGATCCAAAGATTAACAATCAGATTACAATCTAAACAGCTGGATTTACCTTTCACTTAATCCTCTCAACAACCCAATATTGCAAATGAGGATAGCACCAGAACATATTAATACAACATAACTCTGCTTTGTATGGAGCTAAATGGAGAAAAAAAATGTAAACGTGTTAAATGTCGATGCAAGAACTGTTATTGCAATTACTTTCAGGCTTGATCACTTTCAGGTGTTTGTGTGTGATAAGGAATACTTTTGGTGGTTATTTCATTATATTGTGATTTGCATATTCATGAGGGAGCACAAACAAAAAACTGAATTTGCTGTCCCGCTGTGTTGCACAAGCAGTATGCTTTAGATTTTGTAAGATCATCAGCTTTGCACATGCCAACAACTTTGCATATACTTTAATACACAGACTCTATGATTAAATGGATTGTATTTAATTATGTCAAGCAAGTCATTTTCTTTTTATTTTCTAGATGTAGAAAATGCGTAACTTACCTTCAAGCACTGCTTTAGCTTTTTTTCTTTGTTCCACCACTCCCTTAGCCCTTTTTGATGCTCTTTCTCTAATAGCCAAAATCTCTTCTTTCATATCTTTAACATTAGAAGCAGAAAAGTGTCTTCCTCCGTTGGCTGCCACCACTGTATCAATTTTCTCAAATAGGAGCCTGACTTGATCTCTGTCTTCTCTGTTACAGATATTGAGAACATGCTTTCTGTTTCCACATTGTTGAAGGATCCACTGCAAGGCTGGAGTTCTTTGGATTTTGGATTCTATCTTTTTATCACTATCCGAAGTGACTGTGGTGAAAATCACAATAGTGTGAGGGAAAACATCACAACTGAAAAGTTCCAGGTGCTCCATAAGTGATTGCTGTACATGCTGGCATAAATTTGATTCGACATCAATGACCAGAAGGAAGACATGAGGTCCTGGGGGACACAGATGAACACTGTTCTGGATTTCTATTTGATCCAGTTTTGGGGTGTCTTCTCGCATATGAGACCACAGCCAGCCAGGTGTATCAACCACTGTAACTCGTCTACCGAGTATTTCCGTCTGCCTTGCTTCACTCTGAGCTGTTCTTCTGCTCATGTCAAAAACCTCCTGGCCCAAAATGAAGTTTCCAGTTGAACTTTTAACATTGGAGCTTTTGCTCTCCTCTTCTCCTCCTATTAACACCATCCTCAACTCTGGAAGGGAATCCATTGATCCTGTTTATAGAAACACAGCACAACTCACATGATCTACTCTCGTAACAACAACAATGTTTATAAAGTCTCCTGATAAAATGAAATATTTACATGGTTCAGAAAGCTTAGTGATTAGCACAAAAAAAGTGATTAACAGCAACACTCGGTAAAAAGACTACATAAAGTGTATAGAAATATATTGAGTTTGGTATATTTTATATGCACATAATTTGTACAGAAAAAGTTGAAATATTACACTATTTAAACAGCTAACTGACCAGGCACAGTTTTATTAAAATCTCACTTACCAAAGCTGGAAACGTCAGGTATTTTAGCCATTTTTAGCAGACACTACTACTGTAGGTCCTCTGTAACTTGCTATGACTTGCTAAACTTGTTCACCAAATAAATAAAATGCTATCAGGGGATAACCAAGGTGTGGCTTGTTTCATGCATGTTTTCCACGCCCTCAAAGTCCCAGATCTTAAAAAAGAAAACCCACGCCTGCAGAATGTGAACAAGATTAAACCATGGACTGAGCTTTTAGGGCATTGCTACCTTTTTACTTGTTATTACGGTAGTAAATTGTTAAAATGTAAACAGAACCAACTGAGATATTTATTACTTAAGTCCCTGTCAAATAAATGGACTAAATTTTTGGACAGATGGAGAAATTCATAAACTTGATTTCTACAAACCTTTAAAAACATCATCCTCAGATTGATGAAGTGTCACCTGTTTTTTAAGCTACTATTTAATCTAATTAACAAATTATCAAGAAGCCACATTGTATTGGTTAGAGTTTTAGGGACAGACTGTCAATCCTTTCAGCAGGTCTATAGGACACAAACAAGACTAAAGCACAAAATGAATCACGTTGCATCCTTTTGTGTGCCTGATCAATACATCAGTCATTTTCCTTGTTCATAATTTCTTTTTAGATCACCCAGAAAAACACCCACTTATTGTAAATGCATTTCTGTTTTTGCTTACGCAATTTACCTTCTCTTTATGTGGATGTTTTGAAGATCAGGTCCTTAGTTCAAAGCAGGATATGAACCTAGGAATTCTTTCTTGTGGTGTGAGTCATATATCATTTTATTCTCACTCAACTTGTTCCAGACTGAAACTATGTAGTGCTGCATGTAAAAATGACGTAGGTCTATGAAACAAAATCTGTTTGCAGAAAAACGTACATAGTTTTTGGACGGCCAGTAAATCTATCTTTATATAATGATCAAGAACAGTTACCCCAATGCCCCTGTGTGCAGCATTTATCAGCCCTAAATATATAAACCAACAGCTTTCTGCCTATTAGTTTATTAATTAACCCCTCATTCTTCACCCAAAACCCAAAACCGCCGGGTTCACTATTATAAGAAAGCCCACACTGTTTCTCAGTAAATACATTATTGTAGCTATCTGACGCTTGTGAATGCTTCACACTGGCATTGGGCTGCCATTGTGCAGCACTCGGGGAGCAGTGGGCTGCCATTGTGCAGCACACGGCGAACAGTGGGCTGCCATTATGCAGCACCTTTGTCATGATTGATTGGGAAAGAAGCTGCTGCAGCTTCAGGTCTGTTCCTGGTGAAATGTTCTGGTGGGGTAGAGAGTCGATTAAACACTTTTCATCAAACTAAAGCACTAAGTTATGAAACAGAAGATTAACTAAGTGTTTTCATTACACAATTGGAAGTATTAAACAATGTAATGAGGTTATAATAATTTTGCCTTAGTAAAATAAAATAAATAAGATTATATTAGTATTGCAGTTCAAAAAACTGCTCTTTTCTTTATAAATGGCATAGATCAAATACCTCATCTCAAAAGTAACTTTATTGTTTATAATAATTTACTGGCCTGGCGAGGTGTGAAGAAATATCTAAATATCTCCCCCACCATCTCCTCTTGGTCATCGTTGACTTTGAATCCAGATTTACCAGCAGAAATTAGAAGCATTGGCTTGTCTGAATGGTCATCGAAGGGACTGTCAAATATTATGGACATATTGAACTCTGACTCTGTTAAACCCTTTGAACAAATTAAAGCTAATGATAATATGATAATTATGATAATATGAAGCTGGTGTGGGAGTATGATCTGGGGTTGAAGTTTAATCCAGCAGATTGGGAGGAAATCTGTGATGGGGTTTTCCCTATTTGCACTTCGCTCTCTATTCATGAGCAGAACTTTAAATTCTTTTATCGAACATATTATACACCTGTTCGCCTTCGGAAAATGTTTCCTGATGCTTCAGATCTCTGTCATAAATGCAGAATACATAAGGGCACATTTATTCATTTATTTTGGTCTTGCAATTATATTCAAATCTTCTGGAAGGCAGTTCATCTGATGATACAAGAGATTATTGGTAAACAGTTCTCACTAACTCCCTCCTTTTGTCTTTTTAATCATACTTCAGTGATTCTCTTTAATGCAGATACTAAACATTTGCTTGTAATTCTCTTATTTCTGGCTAAGAAATGTATATTACTGAGGTGGTCAGCATCACAAGCCCCTACAGTTGATATGTGGTTATCACAAATGTGCTATTGTCTCAGTTGAAAAACTGACTCATGACCTTCATCAAAAGTCGGACAAATTCCGGAGGATCTGGGACCCGGTGCAATCTTTCTTACAGAAACTGTAAATTTAGTTTTCTCTCTTCTATTTCTTTTTCTTTATATATTCAATATATTACACACTTGGCTGTATGGACTACTTTGAACCATGTCTGCCTGTATTTTGTGTATGTGTGTATGTTTTTTTTTTTTGTTTGTTTGTTTTTTGTTGATGTTTACATAAAGCTGTGAAAACTTAAAAAAAAAAAAAAAAACTGCTGTGGAGAACAATATTCTCACAACGTGCAAGACGCAAGTTTATCAGAGTCAACTTACTTAAAGGTCTTTTGAGTTAAAAATATGTTTTTAGAGACCAAAGACAAAACCAAAAGACTACATGTATCAGTTAAAACTTTATGAACCTTTTCCACTAATCTCTGAGGAACCAAATAAACTCACAGCCTTCTCCTCTATTCTGCTAAATTGTTGTGGTGATTATTATTATTGTTTAGAGACTATTTTGATCTAGTTTGATCACAATACCATAGATATGCAGGTAAAACCTGTAAAACACAAATAAACTGTCATGATGGGTCTAATGCAGGGGTCTTCAACATTTTCCAGGCCAAGGACCCCCAAATTGATGTTGAGATGGAGCGGGGACCCCCTAATTATATTGTATGAAATTGTGTTATATCAAACTGGTCCTATAGTCGCTCTATTACAGATGGAGTAATGTAACCAAAGTATTTTCTCCCGGGGATTATTAAAGTATTTCTGATTCCTCATTGATGGGTCAGGTGTTGTGAATAAAACGCTGTGCAGCTTGAAAGAGCTCTTGTGTGTCGCTGAATGTGTGCATTGATGACTGAAAGACATCTTCTGCCTCCATTTTTCTGTTTACAACAATGTGTTGAATTCATGTTAATGTGGCTTTAAAGAAATTTTAATTAGTGGAAAAAATTGCAGGGGAATATAGGAAAAAAGTCTAATAAACCACACTTTCGTGACCCCCATGCAGTACCTCCGCGGACCCCCTGTTGAAGACCTTTGGTCTAATGTATTTGGCCCACATGCAGAAGCACTCTCAGAGACTGGAAAAATTAAACAGTTTATTGAAGGGATTACTGCACAGAGACTAGGAAAAAACAGTTCAGCTTGGGGAGGTTCCAGCAGTCAGGTGAACTGGAAGCAGAAGCTCTAGAAAGAGATCAGAGTGGTGAGTGCAAGGACTATGGGAATCCTGGCCGATTATCTGAATACAAGGTTTGACTTGGACTCACTGTGGTTGTTTGGGAGGGTTCCAGAGTTCCTGTTTGTCGAGGCTTGTTCAGTTGAAAGTGTTGTACGTTGGAGGGCGGACAGGCAGACTATGGTGGTCCTGAGTGGCAGCAGAGTATACTGACAAGGCTTACAGATGAGGAGATCTGTCTCCTATTCTCAGTGTGACGAGTGAGTCCCTTCCAAGACTTGAAGGGACTGGCTTATCCAGTGGATCAGAGATCCTGCCGGAGAATCTAATGACAAAACTTGGTTAGTGCTGAGATCTCAGAAGAAACAGGGACTCAAAGTTAGACTCTGCAAACTCTGAGGGGCTAGAGTACCCATTACTGGCAAACACTCTGGCAAGGAAGTGAAAACAATCTGCTGCTTAAATACTCCTCAGGAAGTGATGACCCAATAGGCTGTAGGTGTGAGGTGAGAAGATCAGGAAGCCCTCCAGACCAGCAGAGAACAATGGCACCATCTGGTGGGTGCACAGTGGAACTGCAAGAGAACAAAAAAACAAACCCCACAAACTGGAACCCTGACATACATTTTTAAGCCATTTTCAATTTTTAAAAAATCTATATCGAAGAACACCATCTTTTTATATTCATTGATTATTGTGATAGGCCTACACTAATATTTACTACATGTACATACTGCCTCTGATCATAATTTATACAGGTCCTTCTCAAAATATTAGCATATTTGATAAAGTTCATTATTTTCTATAATGTAATGATAAAACTTGAAAATTCATATATTTTAGATTCATTGCACACTAATTGAAATATTTCAGGTCTTTTATTGTCTTAATACGGAGGATTTTGGTATACAGCTCGTGAAATGCCTGAATTCCTATCTGACTCTGGCACCTTGATTTCCAAATGACATGCAAAATTTGCCGTATACTTTCATGTTGTGTCTGTGCATTAGCCTTTAAATATGACATAGATATGAAATATAGCTAAATTAATGAACCAATTTAATAACTACACAGAGCTTCAGTTTCTATATGCTCTTCTGATTTTCGGAAGGAAATTCACATCATAGGCACATCAAGGAAATTCTAACACCAGTAAGGAGATACATATTCCTGCAAATAAACATATTGTCATTGCTTAAATATGGGAAAATATGATAAAATAAATGAAACCATAACTCCCTTGATACATAAAAAATGTTTTCTCTGAGTTGGAAATATCCACAGATTTAGTCTCACCAATCTGACCACCTCAATTTATTCAGGAAAATCTCTAGACTTACAGTCTCATTTCCAAGGGACCTGTTAGATATATTAATAGCAGTGATATAAAAACAGTAATAATACCAAAATAACAACGATAAGAATACTGACATACAAACAACAAACAAATGTATTCTGCTTTTAATGTTTATTTCTTATGTAATTCAAACATTTAATTTATTTATAAACTTTAGATTAATTTAAAAGGCTTAAATAATGTGACCTAAAATCCTGTATCTTTATATTATATGAACCAGTTTCCAGTGATGATTTTTGCAGCTTACATATTATTATTTCTTTTTCAGGAGGCTTTTCTTTCACTA